CCCCCATGATAGAAGTCCTCATCCACATGAGACCTCTGCCAGATCTGGGGGCTGCAACGGAACAGGGTATTCCTCTAGATTTTGAAAACTCAATGGCATAGCCCTCTTGTTTTTAAAATTTCACTTTGATTCATTTGGGCTCCTGTGGTTTTCACAAATCTTGTTTCTCCCAAGAAAACAACAAAGGAACAATGGCCTCCTGCGTTGAATCCTGGGGAGGTATAGGACTCAAGAAACATTCTGCTTCTCGTCTGCAGAGCCCATGGGGAAGCAGAGAAATCCCCAGTCTGTGTTTCCTGGGAAGCAACACTACGATGCTGGAGCAAATATCAAAGGAAGACGTGACTGGTGAAGTGGAAAATAGCAGCGTTAGAGTCGAGAGACTTAGATGTTAATTTCAGTTTTTGTCACCAATTTGCTGTGTGACCTTGGGCAGGCACCATCCCATTCTGGGCCTGTTTTGTCACCCATAATTTGGAGGAAAGAAGACAAGAAGATGCTCTCTAAACACCCTTCCAGCGTCAGCTCTGACTGGGCTTCTAGGCATGTCCCCGCTGTCCCTGGACACCACCTCCAGCCTTCCCTCCGTGCTTGCAAAGCCTGGGTGGGACTGAGAGGGTGTCTCAAGCCCTGTTTTCTTTCCATCTAAACTCAGACTTACTAAGTGACTTGTCCACGTTTCTCTGGGAGTGACAGCTGATGGATGAGGAGCTCCTGGGGTGCTTTGTGCAGACCTGACCAGGGAAATCAGGGCAAAGACAGTCTCCAGGTCGCTCCGGGCTGACGTCGCTGCTACAGGATGATGTTAATTCTGCTGTTTACAGAAATAAGTCCGGTGTGAGTGGAGGCTTTTTGGTGTTTAAAGCCAGATGGTATTTCCTGCCTTAATCAGCCTCGGAGCTTCGGTTCCCATGGCAACCCCGAAGTTCCACCTACTGCAACTTCCCGGTTCTCCGAGTTTCTTCCTCTGCCACCATGGTGCCAGGGTCCCTGGAGAATAAAGCCACTAACTAGCATGTGCATGGCACTTTACAGTTTACAACACACTCCAGCACTTGTTACCTCATTTACTTCTCCCCACAGCCTGCCAGGTCGCATCTGCTATTCCCTTCATTTTATAGATGGGAAAACCAAAGTCTTGGCGAGGAGTTGGTCTGCCCTATCAGCCCTCAATGGTGTCAGCAGGACTCAAACCCAGGTATCATGACTTTGGACCTCATGAGGGTTCCACCAGGCCAGGATGGAGATGGATGCCCTGCCTTGCAGGTATCTCCTTGACTACGATTCGTAAGCGATCAATTCCATACTGACTGGGTTTAGATCAAGGTGTACCATCTTTAGGCAAGTTACTTAACTTCTCTGTGCCTCACTTTCCTCCTCTGCAAAATGGGTAGTAATAATGGAACCTCCAGATGGACAAGAGAATTCACTTACTGTGTGTGTAAAACCACAGGAAGTGCTCACTGGGTTTGAAGGGAGACCTGAGAAGCGTGGGTGGGTCTCAATTCTACTTTAACCGTCGTGTTACCTGGGTGGGCCGTTTTGCTCACTGGAGCCTGTCCCTCCCTTCATGTAAGAGGTGACCGCATTGCGGTGCTCCTGTGGATGTCACGCATGATGAGACTGACGCACGGAAGGTACGTTAGAGAGCACCTTCTCTCACACTGCAAGGCACACGCATGCCCTGGAGACCGTGTGAAGATGCAGACTCTGCTCAGGAATGGGGGGCGTGCCTGCATCTCTTACAAGCGTCCAGGGGATGCTGAAGCTGCTGGTCCGTGGGTCACACCTTGAGCACCAAGGCTGTAGCTAGGACAGCACCATTCAGTGCTTTTGATGATCAGCCATGCAGAGCGCCATGCCCACAGGCCTCCAGTTACGAACTCCGTCAAAAGCTCAAGAAGCTTGGAGAGCCCACTGGGAAGGTCAGCAGGAGCCCAAGTGGAGGGTTTTTCCAGGTAGGGAATTTCTGTCGGGAGAAGGGCTCCTCAGGCCCCCAGCCCCAGGCTCTGTGCATCCTGGGACCCTCAGGGGGCTCTGGTGAAAGCTTTACCTGAACTTGGGGCTGTCAATAGAGGATGTCAAAATGTTGACATGCGTTATGCTTGCACATCAAAATATACTCATTGCTAATGACTTGTGCAATTCTTTAAAAATAAAAATAAACTTTTTAAGTAAAAAAAAAGTCAGTGTGACCCAGGAGTGCTAAGCAATCTGTGTTCAAGCGTGAGACAGAAAGTGGACCAAGTAGAGCTATTCCACTGGGCTGACGAACACAGAAGCACCTTCAGCTTTTTTGTCCAACTCTTTGCTCTGTATTCTTCCTGTATGATCGCAGGTTGTAAAGGGAATTTCGCACATTAAGTTCCCTGCTATGCAATAAACAAATAATTTCCATTCATTCTTGCAACTCACGCATCCCTGGTCCTTGTCACAGGTCCATGTCCCAGCTCCTCTGACTGCTCCCAACTCAGGGGTCATTGACGCAGCTGCATTGAGTGGTGGCCCCAGCAGAACCCCTCTGTGACTGGGGATGAAGAGCTCATGTGGCCCCGACCCCCAACGACCGAGGAGAGAAAAGGAGCCACTGAAAGTGGCTGATGCCCCGTGAGCACATACCCTGTGCCAGGCAGCGTGCTGAGCACGTGACTTGCATTATGTCAGTTAATGCTCACACTCCCTGTCAGCCAGGATTTTATCACCCTGGTGGACAAACTCCGGAAGGCAGGGGCGTTGCTCTGCGCCCTGTGCGTCCCAGTGCCTATGAGGGTGCTCCAGTAGCATCTGCTGAGCAAGCCTGCCAGCATTCCTTCCCACACGAGGGAACACAGGTTCGCTTACGTGAGGAAGCCTGTCACCACCCACAGGCGAGCCTCCTGGTGGCCGATGGACATTCCCGCAGAGCATTGCGTCCGACTCAGGCTCTTGAGCACTGTGCCTGCTGAGGAGTCAGCAAAGTCCCTTTGCCCTGAGGCCACCTCACCGACGAAACCAACCTGCAGAAGCTGCAGCGACACTGGGGTACAGCCTCCAGTTCTAGATCCTTCCTTAGCTGAAGTTCCTCTGCACGTGCACAGCTTCAGGTTTATAACGCCCTGCTCACAGGCCGGGTTCCCGGAGCAGGCTGAGGGGAGACCAGCCTGCAGCACGTGGTTCGGGCCCTGGTCCTGGGATGGACACCTGTGGCAGGGCGGAGGGAGGCTGGGCCGTCTGGCAGAGGCGCAGGGGCTGGGAGTCGAGGTGGGGTGAGTGGGAGTCGATGGTGCAAGGGCCCCTCGGAGGCATCAACAGCTGAAGAAGTCCGAGAGCGGGTGTCTACGCCAACACAGAAGTGCTTCTCAAAACACGCATCTGCCGCTCAAGGGGAGCGGTGTTTGATTGCAACAAAGGTGGAGACAATTATTACACTAAAGAGCCGTGAGCGAGGAAGGTGACCAGGGAAGTGCAGGAGGCCGGGCACCCGAGGTTACCCGGTGCCTTGACAAAGTTCCCAGCTTCCGAAGGGGCTTCCCCTCCCCAGAGCCAGGACGAGGGTGGCCAACCTCCCTCATGAAGCATTTTCTGTGGGGGCTCAGGAGCCCCCGGCTTGAGACACGCCATTCTTCCAGACCCCTCTGAGGAAGGGAACAGAAAGGTGTGTGGGAAGGAGGGGAGGACCCTAGGATGGTCACCGATCTTTCACACTGAAGGACAAGGTCAAGAAGATGAACAGACCGACAGAAGTAGGGTGGAAGACCAGTCTTCTTTTCCTTTTTTTAAAATTATGGTAAAATACATGACATAAAACTTATATTTTAACCATTTTAACTCGCACCATTCAGTGGCATTAAGTACCTCCAGTGCTGTAGAACCATTACCATTACCTAGTTCTAGAACTTTTCATCACCCCAAAAGGTAAATCTCCTACCCATTAGGCAGTGGCTCCTCATTTCCCCGATCCCTGACTCTGTCTCTATGTATTTGCCTACTCTGGATATTTCACATAAGTGGAATCATATAATACGTGGTCTTTCGTGTCTGGCTTCTTTTGCATAATGTCTCCATGGCTCATTCATGTGGTCACATGGACAGGTACTTCACTCCTTTTTATGGCTGACTAATATTCCATTGTGTGAATGTATCACATTTTGTTTATCCACAGTCCACTGGTGGCCGTCTGGATTGTTTCTACCTTTCAGCTATTGCGAACAGTGCTGCTGTGAAGATTCACATATGAGTTTTTGTTTGAACACCTATTTTCAATTCTTTTGGGTATATACCTAGGAGGGGAATTGCTGAGCTCGATGATAATAATTCTATGTTTAACTTATTGAGGAAGTACTCCTCGTTTTTGTAGGTTTTCATAGACTCACAGGGGTGGAAACGACCTCAAAAATGACCGGGAATGGTTTTTCTTGGACTTTTGGATTTCATACATCAGTAAAACTACAACTGCCATCCCCACCGCTCCTTCCCCAAAAGGAGGGACTTGCGTCAGGATCAAGGCCAACCCTGGGAAATGAATACATTAGTGTCAGGCAAACTCACTGCCTTGAACTTGTTTTTCTCACATCGCCTCCATCGCTGGGTCATTTGGGAACCAAGTGCCTGGTCCGATCCTCATCGTAAGTCTGAATCCCCCTCCCGCTGCCCTGGCACAGGCTGCCAGCCTCTGGGGGCCCACCTGCGGATGCTCCCCCTCTCAGGTAGCCCTGGATCCTGGAATGCTCTCTCTCCTAGAGAGCTGGCCCTACTCCTATGGTCTCCCCAGTATCTTCACTCCACCTTCTGGAGCCCCACAGACCTTGGCTTCACCCCACCTGCCTCCACTGGGACCCACGCCACTTTCCGCTTCCCCAACGCTCTATGGGGGTGAGCCGGCCAAGGGGAGATACTGATGCTGGGAGAGGGGGAGACAGGCGCCTTCTGACTTGCAAGAATTCTTAGAGGAAACAGAGAACCTCCAAGCTATTTATAGTGTGTTGTAAGCACCTCCTCCCCAAAATTGTGAACAAGCTGAACAGACTAAATAACAAGGTTTTATTTGTTTTCTTGTTGGCTGGGCTCCCACCAATTGCATGTTTCTCTCTGTGCTGACACGCAACAGGACAGCAGGCGAGAAGGGGCACTCCTCGTGAGGCTGAGGCGAGACCTGCTTTCAAACCGACTGTCCCGGGTCAACTGGGGGACCCTGGCAAGGTCAGTCACCATCCACGTGCCACGGTCACCGCATTGGCAGGAAGGGAACTGTAAGGCTGACTCTCAGGGTTATGATGAAGGAGACGAGGCAACTCACAGGAGCGGCCGGCACCCTCGGCGCTCGGTCCGTGATGATCACCAGAAGAAAACTGAGCAGCGTTTCATGCCAACAAGCAAAATCCAAGCGAGAAGAAAATTCACCATTATTTAATATATGTTTGGCAAACAAAAATCCTCCAAAGAATCAAGTGCCTGCTTGGAAATAACCATCAAATAATAATAAAAAGAAGAATCTGACGGTGAGGAACAGGGAAACCCGCTCTTGCAGGGCTGCAACACGGTGGCACCTGGTCTCCCACCGAAGGATAGAGGGCCCCTCCAAAGGATGGGGGCACGGCGGCACTCTGCCACAGCAGCCTGGAGGGTGGACAAGGTCTCCCTAAAGAGGACAATGGCCGTGCCCGGGTCTGTGAGCCCTAGCGAGGCGGCTCCGATAGAAGCTGGAGACCTGGGCGGACCTGACACGGACAGGTGCTGGCTCACCCCTGGGGTGGGGCCCTGGAGAGAGCACCCTGGGTGGCAGGAGGATGTGGTCTCTGCCTCAGGAGGGAGACTGAAGACAAGGGAACCGGGCTTTCTGCTCTCTCCCACCACCGGCGATGCTGTTGATTTCCCGCTGTCGTCCCCCAGCTGTGGCGAATCACTGTCTGTCTACAGGGACTGGTTTCTCAGCCAAGGGGCGGGACTTTCAGGCCGGGTCCGACCCCCTCCTAGGCTGCATGTTATGGAGGAGCAGGGGCCCCTCAGGCCAGCGGGCAGCCTGGCAAGTCCCCCAGAAATATCCAGGGAGCACTCCCCCAGGGGAGGTGACTCTGTGCATCTCCCTGAGGGAGGAGATTCACATGCCTGGCCGACCCTGCAGAATTTGGTACCGACTCTATCAGGCAAAGCGCCGGCTCTCCCTCCACGCTTAACAGGGACTGGCTAATAAGACGTGGTTATCTCGCTGGGAACGACACGGACAGAGGGCGTGGACAGGGCTGCACACCTTCAGTCTGGGCTGCAGATCTTCCCAGGAAGGCTCCCAGGCCTCTACGAGGCGCTGACTTGGTGGCAGAGGTCAGCAGAGATGTCCAGCGTCTGGCCCAGGCTGGTCCCGCAGGCAGTGTCTTCGGGCAGCTTCAAGGCAAGAGCAGACTGGAGGGGTTCCTGCCTCCTGGATCAGCTCCTGTGGTTCGGCTGCAAGGCCTTTCTCTTCTCTCTGCCCACCTTGCTGGGATCCCGTCCCAGTGACAAGCACCCAGAGGCCAGACGCAGCTGGAGGGTTGGGATCCCCACCCACCCTTGCTTCCTCAGGGCTCCCATGCCAACAGGGCCGTCGAAGCTGCTGCTCCCTCTGGCTGGAGGCTGTTCTGGCCTGGCTCCTCTAGCTGCAGCTACACTGGGGCAAGTGGGAGGCGGGAGCAGATGGGGAGCCCAGGGGACAATGACAGAGAGAGGATTTCAAACGGGCAACTGGAGGTTCCTCACATCTCCCCAGCTCCACACCGTGCGAAAGGGGATTTCTCACCTCCACTGATCCGCAGCTCCTTGGTTAGTGCTATTCCCTTGCAACCAAAAAGGAAACTGAGGCTCAAGGAGAGGAAGAAATGGGCGCCCGTTGCCCGTTAAGAAGTGGCTGAGCCAAAGCCCAGCGCTGGGGCTGACTCCAGACTCAGTGCTCTTTCCAGGGAGCAGACTGTTTCCACACATTCAAAGGCAAGGAATAAAAATTGAAAAAGCAGGTGTCTGACCCCCGCTGGTGATATTCAGTTGACAAATGTTACATGTCCCCTGCCTTCACCCAGGCTGCCCCACCTGGGGTGCCATTTCTCATCACCCCTGCGAGCTGTGCCAACCCCCTTTCAGACCCGGTTCAAGCTCTGGTCTCTCCTACGGGCCTGTCCAGGCCGAACCAGAGCCGACGTGGGTGACGTCCTCGGAGCCATGCCCCCAGCACCCCCTCGCTACAAGCCTCCCCACAGCGCCAGTGTGTTTATCCACATGCTTGTCTCCTCTGAGATGCTGTGGGTTCCCTGAGGCCGACATGGTGCTTCTTCCTCTCGACCCATGGCCCAGGCGGGGCAGGCACAGGGCAGACGCTCAGCCACCGCTCAGAGAAACGGAAGAAGGAAAAGCAAACACTCTCCCTGTAAACAGGCCGGCCTGGCGCTGGAGCCCTGAGGCAGGAGCCTCCCCTGGCCGTGCGGGCCGGGTCCAATACCAGCACACGCCAGGCAGACAATGCCCACGACCCTGCAGGAGACCCCAAGATGGAGAGACCTCTGAGGGACCCCCTTACCTCCATGTCCCACCACCCAGCAGGCCACCTCTGCAGAGAGCCACTGGGGAGACCCCTGCCCCAGCTGAAGCCCTCGGGCGCCCCTCACCCCACTCCCAGGGGCCATGAGGCCTCATGGCTGCCGCTGTCCCAGTCAAAGCAGGGTTCTCCTGACAGTGTCCCGGGATGCCCCATCTGGCGAGAGTGCCGTGCAGCAGCGTTCTACGATGAGACGTGTGGGAAGGCTCCAGCCACACGGCCCCTCTGAAGTGGCCCCACACTGGCACACTAAAGGCTCTGAGATATCCTGCTGCAGACAGTCATGTACCTGGCCTTAACCCAGTGTCTGCCAGACCCGTTAGACCACAGAGCCTCACCCCACTTTCACACACACCCCGCCTTTATTTTTCCGTTTGAAAACCTACTAACATCCTGCGGAAGTGGGGTTCCAAAGAACACACCTTGGGAAACACTGGTGAAAGTCACTGGGCACAGGACACACTGTGGAGGGGAACTGCCTCCTGGCGGCAGGCTGCAGCCACACGTGGGGTGAGAAGGGTCACCAGGAATGGGGTGATCATGGCCCAGAAAGGGAGCCAGGGCTCTCGCCAGCCAGCATATGAACTGCCCGGGAGAAAAAGCCTAGAACCACCTGAGTCCAATGAAAAGACGAGAGGCACTGTCCTGAGCCTGCTTCCCCGTCTGCAAGATGGATCAAGGAGCCCTGCTCCACTGCGGCCTCAGACCAGATCGCGGGGGGGGCCTGTGTTTACGGGGAGCTGAGCCCCAGCACAGCCCCTGTGGATCGTGGGTGCTCCCTCAGACCTACCCCAGTGGGTGAACACAGGGTTTATGAAAAGAACAGGACGACAGCCCACAGCAGGCACAAAACCTCAAGCACAGAACTCGGGGGCCATGTATTTCAGGGCAAACGACTCTAGGCCAATCAATAACCCTGGAGACATGGGTATGTTAAAACAGCGAGAATGCCTGGGGCTTCCGGGCTCCAGGAGCCCACGGGAGTCAGAGGAAAAGGGATGGGCTCTGGAGGCCCCAGATGCGTCCTGGGCCACCTCCGCTCCTCTCGGGCTGTGCAACTGGCACACGGCTTCACTCCTCCACGTCCGTCCCCCGACCCGCAGGGTGAGGCTAAGCTGTGCCAGCCTCCAGGGTGGGGGGCAGGACGGCTGACACTGAGGTCAAGCTGCCGCACACAGCAGGTGCCCAACGACCCTCCCGAGAGAAGCCCAGGACACGAGGAACGCTTATCAAGACGTCTATCAGTGACGGTTAAAATAAAACCTCTGCTCTCCAGTCATGAGGAGAGAGCTTCTACAGGTGGGACGGCGGGGATGAAGAGAGAATAGCACCCCTTGGATGGACAGGTGGAGGGAGACCACGACGGGGCTCTGGGCAACGCGGCTGCCCCGCCTCACAGCCGGCGGCCGGGGCTGGGTGTGAACTCTGAGCTGAGTCCAGAGCGCACGCTCTTTCCACTCCACACCTGCCCCTCGAGGCTGGCTGTCCACTCAGCCTTCTCTTGCCTGCAGAGGTCTCAAGGGCGGGAACCAGCTCTGGCTCGTCTCTGAACCCCAGCACACGGCGGAAATGCAGCAAATGTGGGCCGGATGAAACGCTTGCTTGAAAACATTGCAGAAAGCCTCTGGATTTTAAAAGTCAGAGCTCATCCAGTATAACATGACACAGTAGAAAACTACACGGGCCGATCCCCTTCTGAGGAACACAGCATTAACGGGGCCTAGGAGAAACTCCAAATCCTCTGCTTCTTTGCCTTGAAAATGTGAGCACCGAAGTCCTTCCACAACGTAATAGATTAGGTCTTCTGCTCCCCCTTAAAGAGCAGAAAGCCCTACAGTGATATAGGGGGGGCAGAGTGGGGTTATCAGAGCATCATCCAGCCTGAACCCCAATCTGGCAGATGACGAAACTGACGGCCAGAAAGATCACACAGTGGGCCTCATCTTTTTTCCTATATAAAAGGCTGCCTTTGCAATAAAGAAAAACGCATTCGACATACACATCCTGACACCTGCCGTACGTTGTGCGCGGCAGGTGCAGTGACATGTTAGAGCAGAGTGATACACAGAGCAGTGAGGGCCTCCGGCGGCTGGAAGGGTCAGCTCTGTGTAGCGAGTCCAGAAAGGCTTCATCTGACAGGTGACTTGCACCGTGAGGGACAAGGTAGCAGTTTGAAGGGAAGATGTGACAGGGAAGGCCGATCTTCCACCGAAATATGTGCTACCCCATGGAAGTTTAGAGTGGCTGCTGGGAAGCCTACCTGAACAGAGACTACACTTCCCAGACTCCTTTGCATCCAGGTGAGGCCATGTGACTACCAGTGGCCAATGGACTGTGTGCAGGCGGAGAAAATGAAATGTGAGCAGTTAAGAGCAGGCAGTTAAGGAGTGGCTGGGCCTTCTCCGCCATCCCTTTCCCCTCCTGCCAGCCAGAAGCAAAGCCTGAGGCCTCCGGGACGGCAGGGCCACAAGATGAAAGGAGCTGGGTCCCCGGATCCCTGTTGAAACCACCCACCAAGCGGGAGCAGCCTGACTGGGCCTCAGGTGAGACTGTCTTGCTTGTTGGAGTTCGTCACAGCAAAAAGCACCACCGACTCCAGCAGGGGAGGGAGGGCCGGGCGTCCCAGGCAGAGGGAACAACGTGACAAGGCATGGTGGTGTGACAGAGCAAGGTGTGTCTCAGGCACCTGGGAGAGCTGGCGGTGGCTGGAGCACGGGTTGTGCACGGCAGCACTGGGGTCCAGAGACCACAGGAAGGAGGATCAAGCACACGGATTGTTTCCAGGAGCCCTGGTGTTGCTGGCGCTGCTCTCAAAGGAAGAATGGAAGTTGTGGATAGTTTCCTGCAAAATCTGTCTCTCGCGTCCCTGTGGAGGAAAGTGAAAACAGACCCAGAAAGTCTTGTTAAATCGTTTAACCATTAATGCAATTGACACAGTGTTGGTAATGCTCAACTCATACTTGAAAAACCCAAAGGTGTCTGGGGGAAAATAAATTACTTAATTGAAAGAGTACCGAGTTTAATAAAAGCACACTGAGTCAGAATCTCCCCCAGCACCCACATCGCAGCATCTCAGGGCTGGGGAGGCCCCCAAGATGCAGAGGGACGAGAACAGACACAGGGCCCAGGGAACGGGACTGACTTGTCCTGGGTCGCATGGCCTGGAGGGAGGTCCCCATCCCTGCCTTGCTCTGTTTCGTTCCAGCCCTCGGATTTCCAGGGAATTCAGTGGGAGCTGAACTTTCCGCTACAGAGGGTGAGTCTGAAGAGTTTTTACTCCCCCTTGCCCCAAAGATGGCAGGTTCCTCTTTTCAGTGATTCACTTCTCACTCCATCCCAGCAACGTCCCCCCCAGCGGCCCCTACACACAAGTTTTGAGATGGGAAAAGAGGAAGAATGTGGATACTTCTTTAAGCTCAGAGAACATTTCACTGAATACCTGGCCGAGAGTCAGCAAAGTAGGTTAAGAACAGAGATTGGAGTCAAACAGCCCGGGTTCAAAACCCATCTCTCCCATTTACTAGCTGGGTGACCGTGAGCAAGATACTTCACCTCTCTGGATCTGGGTTTCCTCATCTGCGAAGTGGCGATAATAACAGTAGCTCAGATGGTTGCTGCTGACATCAGACCCCGTGTGGACAGCGGGAGGCCGGCAGGCCCTGCCCTCAGCGGGGAGCCGTGTGTATTAAACATATAGTTTAAAAACCAACAAGTAAATGTGGTCAAAACGTAAAGCAAATTAAGATGAATAATCTCTGGCAGATTGTTCTGTGCTACAACTGAAAAGAAAAAGAAGACTCCACTGAATGAGCCTAGACTTCAAGCTTTTTCTTATTCCATGGACTCCCCACATCCCTGAGGGGCCCTTTCCAGACCCCCAAGCAGACACCTAACGCTTTCGAGGCCTCCTAGGCACCTGACAGGGCAGGAGTCGTCTCCCTTCACATCAATCCTTCCAAGTCATTTTAAATAAGCTGGAAAAATGCCATCAGGATTCCATCAACACAAACCTAAAGGCTGCAGGGCAGAGCACACAGCATCAGCTGTGGGGTCAGAGGACCCCGCAGCCCTACGCTACCACTCGCTCTACCCAGGCACAACCCCCTGCTGCCGAGTTTCCGCATCTGTAAAATGGGGGTAATGTCCCCTGCCGGGCCTGGGACGAGGCTCAGCCTGAGATAATGAACGGGGTGACACTGTGCCCACTGCAGAGGGCTGCAACACAAACAGAAGGGACGACAGCCGTGTCTTTATTAAACAGCACCTTGGTCTTAACTGCCTGAGCAATGAGGTCAGGGCGAGACAGGGCTCCAGCACCCTCTCCTCCTCACCCTCAGAGGGAGCCGGGGGTGATGAAATCCATGACGGCCCCCTCCATCCACCACGCACTGACGATCACGATGGCAACTGCCCTTCAAAGATCCCGAATTTCAAAGGACCTGCCTGATCGCTCACAAAACGAAAAAGCAAATGGCCATTAAATACAGAAAAAAAGTGTTCTATCTAGTAAAGGAATGCAAATTAAAATAAGGCATTTTTGGCATATCAAATTAATAAAAATTAAAAACCACACTGACAGTGCTCAGTGCTGGCCAGAGTGGAGTGACACTGGAACCCACACACCCACAGCTGGTGGGGACGGCCACCGACTCTTTCTGGAAAGTAATTCAGGAAGAAGTACCATATATCCTGATTTAGCATCTTTGACTCCATAATTCCACTTTTAGACATCTATTCTGAGGATATGATTAGAAAGCCTTATACACAAAGCTACCCACAACAGCACTATCTATAGAAAGTATAGATAGCTACAAATCCAATGAGAAGGGATTAAAAAAAATAATTTTGGTACATCCATGCAAATTTATTAAAAAGTTCTTAATGACATGGGTAACTGCATATATTTAATGTTAAACAAAGACAGCAGGATGTAAAATTATAGATGCAAATTTATGTCAGCCACATAAAACAACCTTTGGCACAAAACACGGCAGAGTGATCTTCCCAAATGTGAACAGCGTTGGCCTCTGGCGGTTGGGTCGTGATTTCTTTAAAAATCCTTTTCACCTTTTTGGTACTGTGCCAATTTAGTAAAACAAATATGCACTGCTTTGATAATCACAAAAAGTGGGAATGAAAGAAGCAATGGCTTTGGACCAACTGCAGGTGAAACTCAGATCATCATTTCTGGTTAAGCTTCTCCAGTACATAACCTGTTTGAAACTAGCCAACGGATAAGCAGACCTGAGTACGGATCACAGCTCGAATACTGGGGTTGCAGGGCTGGCAGGCTGCAGGTCCACAGTGCTTTGCTGATTTTTTTCTGGCTGAGCCAGGTGTTCGGTTAATATTCATCTAAAAAGGAAATTTTAGGCTAAAATGTTCAAACTTTCTTCGATTGTGTAAGAAATACATTTTACATCACAACCCTGTTACATGTAAACACATAACGACTGAAACAAATTTTACCTCCCTACCTGCAAGGAATGTTCATATTTTCTACCCTACTCTTTTTTTTGTTAAATGCTGCTCATGACCCACTGAATTGATTCCAGAACCCTCCAGCTAGACCACAGCTAGAAAGACACTGGGGGGAGGAGCGCCAGCCCCGCTCTCACGCATCCTGGTCCGGGTTCTCAAACATGCACGGAGCATTGGAGCAGTACCGGCCGTGGGTCCTCTCCCGGCCCAGGCTGGGTTGAGAAAGAAGCAGGAGGAACGCCATAAGGGGAAGCTGGGGCCCTGCAGCAATCAAGAAAGAGGCAGGAGGCTCTGAAGTCGGGTCAGGCAGGTCCAGTTCAGAACAGCTGAGGCCCCGGGTGTCCCAAGGCCATCGTAAGGGCTCGTGGATGCCACGCTCAGTCTGAGGACTCCTATGTTTTTTTTTGAGGGGGATTAGCCCTGAGCTAACTACTGCCAGTCCTCCTCTTTTTGCTGAGGAAGACTGGCCCTGAGCTACCATCCGTGCCCATCTTCCTCTACTTTATATGTGGGATGCCTACCACAGCATGGCTTGACAAGCGGTGCCATGTCCGCATACAGGATCCGAACTGGTGAACCCCAGGCTGCCGAAGCGAACGTTTGCACTTAACCGCTGTGCCACTGGGCCAGCCCCGTGAGGACGACCTTGCTCTTCCCAAGAACCAGCATGCAGTTGCAATGGTGACATCGGGGAGTGAAGACAAACTTGCTTTTGTAACAGTAAACTTCTCCCAGTCACCTCTTGGCTCTAAGACGCTCTGACACCCAGTCCTCGCTTGTCTGGCACTGTGCAGAGTAACAGGGCCTCTCTCCAGCGATGAGCTCAGGGGGCTCCTCCCCCCTGCACCTACTTCCACGTGGAATCGCCTGACTTTGCAGAGTGGACACTGCCCATGGGAAGGACACGGCCGGGATCAAGCGGTCCCCTCGCTCTGGCATGTCAGAAGCCCCTGGGTCTTCCGGCTGGGAGCTGGTCAGCTGGGGCCCCCGAGGAAGGCCACAGTTATGGACTGAACGTTTGTGTCCCCCCAAAGCTCGTATGTTGAAACCCTACCCCACAACATGACGGTGCTGGGAGGTGAACAGGCTCAGGTGAGGTCATGAGGGCAGGGCTCCCACGACGGGGTCAGTGCCCCTGTGAGAGGCGAGAGCTCGCCTCTCTGTGCTGTGCCGCGTGAGGGTGCAGCGAGAAGCTGGCCGTCCGCCACTCGGAAGAGGACCCGCACCAGAACCGAGCACGCCGGCACCTGCCCTCGGACGCCCAGCCTCCAGACTGTGAGGAATGCACGTCCGCTGTTTCCAGGCCACCCAGTCTTCGGTGCTTCGTATGCTGCCCGAACCAGGACCCCCACCAACAGCCGTTGCTCCAGCTGACCTCAGTGGGGCCCTGTCTAGCAGAGGATGCAAAGTGTTCCAGAAACAGGGAGGAGGGGGCCAACGAATTTGAGAGAAAACTAAAGGAAGTTCCAGTCTGCACAGACTTTAACAAAAACGTCCTCCTTCGGAGTGGGCTCGAGATGTCACATCGTCCACTCTGATGACGACATTTAAGTCTCCTAAGATTTGCAAGCCAGCCCCACTCTAAGTCAGGAGCTCTCACAACACACACACCTCTCCTTCATGTCTGCTTATGGGCTACGCTGAGGCAGGACAGCAGAGTGGTCAGGACACAGACTGTGGGTTCCACTCTGGGCTCCACACTTACTGGCTGTCTGATCTTAGGCAAATTCCTCAATGTCTCTGTGCCTGTTTCTCACCTACAAACTGGAGCTGACTCAGCGGCCTCCGTGACGGTTTGATGAATGACTAGATGTGACATGCTCAGGGCAGTGCTGGCACAGGGGGATTCTCAGTGCTCCCACCCACACAGCGCCTGGGGCCCGGCACAGAGGCAAGTGCTGTTTCTCATGAATAAATCAGTGCTCCACACTCTGGTGCTTGGCGCAGGTGATCCCACCCCACCCCTGAGCCCCCTTGGGCTTCAGTTTCCTGGGGGAGCCCTTCCTCCCAAGCAGAGACCTCCAGCAGCCTCCATGCCGGCCGCACCCACCTCCCTGCCTGGGTGGAGCAGAAACGGGCTGGCCTGGGGTCAGGGGTCGCTGCCCAGTTCTGGGCTCAACTTCTCTCTCTCCGCAGGGAGGCAGCCCAGGGCCCTGGAAGGGGCGCCATGTTTAGGAACAGGCCACCGACAGAGAGCAAGGAACAAACAACAAATGTAAAGACTTGAGGGAGACGCCCAGCCCTGCCAACACCTGAAGAATGCTAACTAAGCCAGTGAAGGGCCAGCTCGCAGCCTCCAGACAGGGAAATAACGATGCCAGCAACAAACCACCACCCCGTCCCGGCAGGCTGGGAGGGGCCGGGTGCAGCTAGGGGCCCCCAACTCTGCTCCCGCTCCAGCTGCACAGGGCAGCACGGGGACCAGCCCCCGGATTAACAGGAAATGTACGTGAAGGGGTCTGTGAAGGATAAAGCGCCACATGAATACTTGTCTGCCTCTGGCGCAACAGGTCTGTGCGGCATTTCTGTGCCTACTCGGCCGCGTATGGAAAGAACTATCAACTCAGCCACGCTCTCTGACGGGACCCCGTATGGTGGGACACAGCAACTACAGAGAAGGAGGCCGAGCTGTCAGTGTCGGCACCATTTACAACAGCAAAACCCCAGAGCCAGCGCCGTGGTCCACGAAGCGGGGGCTGTCAGGCAAGGCATGGAAAGCAACAGGCAGGCAGGGGGTCTACGCTGCTGTGGAACGAGGCACAGAAAAGCCCGCCCACATTAGGGAGGAAAGCAGAAGGCAAAGGAGGGTGAGCAGCCCAGTGGCGACTACCAACCACTGTCTGCAGAGGGAGGGGCGACCGGCTCCTCGTGTGTGGTCTGCTTGTTTGCTTCTGCAAACGTGTGCCTTTGTGGGAGTGGGGGGCACTGCTAACCTTTAGCCTTAAAGCTGATGAAACAGAAATTTAACACTCGACAGAAATGCAGATGCCAACAACAACAGTGACTGACGGACGTGTGTGTGCCAGGCGCTCTGCGAAGCATTTTAGTCTGCAACAACCCCATCACCCACACTCTGCAGACGAGGAAAGAGAGGCTCAGAGAGGTATGTGACTTGCTCGGGGTTACGCAGCAAGTAAGTGGAGGAGCTGGGATTCAAACCCAGGTCAGCCTGACGCCAGGGCCCGTCTTAACCAAAGGCCCTGCTTCCACTGTGCTCCGGAGGGCAATACCCAGCCCTGTGGGTTAAAGTTACTGGAAGGAATATTTTAGCCGAATCTAAGGAGAAACAGCCTTATACAAAGAGAGGTCTGGAAAATGAACAGGCCACAGTGAGAGGTAGTGAGCGCCTGGTTATGAGAAGTGTGCAAGTGGGGCCAGACTCTGCCAGATATGCTGGAGGTGAACTTGGAGCATGAAGGTCCTTGGGAACACTGAGGGCCTAAGATCCTACTGAAGCTCTCAGTCGTTTGAAACAGGGGAAAAAAAAAAAGGAGAACAATACCTTGCCCGCATTCAGTTCAGAAATGGCTGCCAGAATCTGCTGCCTGGATCCATCTGTCTTAATACCCAGCTCCTTCAGGTCGCCATCGGTGAGCGTCAGGAATGCCTCCATGTCCACCTGGGAAGAGAGGGGACTTGCCACCATCTGCTTGACGCCACACCTCTCTCTTCCCAACCACAACAAAAACATCACGCTTATGAGCTATTAGCGCTTATTAGTAAGGAATTAATTATGATTTACTACTTTCAATCCCTGACTTTAGGCTGAAAGTTTAGTCGAAAATATCATTAAGAACTAACTCTCCGCAGCCCTAGCCCTGGGATTTTCAGGACACGTGCATTTCAGAAAGACCCTGACAGTGAAACAAGGGACAGTCTCCAAGACAGGGATCCGGGAGGCTGGGGTCCTGCTGTTACAAAGTCAATGCCAATGCGGCTGCACTTTCAACATCAGCTCCTGCCCAGAACATGTGGGTATACAGCGGTACTCACCATGCTTCCCCCCAGAGGACAAGAGAGATGCAGACTGTGGGAAGATAGAGTGAGAAAATAAACAAGCAGAAGCAGCAAGGAAAGAAGGGCCACAGAGAACCGAGGCAGAAAGGGGCTGAGAACAAGGGTGTCACAAAGCCCCGCAATCCTGGGACTCTTCGGGGAAAATCCTAATGTTTCTGCATTCCTGCCTGTGCAGGATGAAACTCCCCCCATCTTTCCTTCTCTCTTGTAATAGTCACTTTACTTTCCTGGATTAAAAAAACATCTTGAGCCAGGTTTGAGTGAGCGGGGAAGGAAGGCTCTGCTCCCTAACCCAACGCCAGGCTCCCTCTGTGGGGCAGGCATCTCTGACAACAAGCTGCTGGCATCCCTCTGGGATGCTGAGGGCTGAACGAACTGGGCATGTGCTTCTTGATGGAAACCACCGGCCCCGCCGGACACTCCCCTCTCCCCACTATCCCAGACCCTCAGCGCAGACCCACACCCGGTTCCCTAGAGGGCACAGAACACATAACAAAGCAGGCAGCCATCAGCAAACAGGAAAGATTTCTCAATGACGAGAAAACTCACTGCTGAAGTTTAAAAGGCTGAGGAGGCGGGCAGGGCTGACCGGGCAGGGCAGAAAAGCGAACCGAGGGGAAGCCACTGCACCCCCGTCTGGCTCCTGAACCCACAGCCCACTCCTCAATGGCATCTCAAGCTTGTTGGGGACAACAAGTGCTTCTCGTGATTGCTGCTGTAATTACGACAGCCGTCCTGGACCAGACTGGGTACCAGAACGTCCTACACGAGCGATCACACCTGGTGCTCGGGGACCACAGAGGAGCTTTATCTGGCCCAAACGGTAAATGTTTTAACAGCTTATTGAGATATGTCACCTACCACAAAATTCACCCATTTAAAGTGTAAAATTCAATGATTTTTAGTACTTTCAGAGTTGTGCAACTGTCACCACACTCGATTTTAGAATATTTTCATTGTCCTAAAAAGCAAACTCACACCCATTGGCGATCAATCCCATTCTCTCCTCCTCGCCTGCCTGGCAGCCACTCGCCTCCTCCTGTCTCTGGGTCTGCCTCTCCTGGACACTGCACGTCAAGGCATCACACCACATGTGGCCTTTGTGACCGGCTTCTTTCACCTGGCATAATGTTCTCGAGGTCCACCCCTGTCGTAGTGCGGATCGGTGCTTCACCCCTTTTCATGGCCACATTATATCCCGTCGTACAGAGAGAACATGTTTCATTTACCCATCATCAGCTGATGGACATGTGTGTTGCTTCTACTTTTCGGTGACTATGAATAACGCTGCTATGAACATCTGCCTACAGCCTTTGTCTGGACACGTTCTTGTTTCTCTGGGTTGACACCCAGGAGCGGGACTGCTGGGTCCCACGGTGACTCTATGTTTAAAACTTTGAGAAACTGCCTAACTGCAGAACACTAATTTTTTAAACGTGGTTGTGAGTGCTGTTAAGAAAACAGGAACTCTCTCAGACGAACACACTCTACATCCAGACACAACGCAGACTCATTAGGGTTTGCTTTTGAACCGATCTAAACCTAAAAAAGGCTGCCAGTCAACGTCCTTCAACTAAAGCGAGCGCAGGACAGACACAAACCTCACTAGAGAGAGCAGTGCTCAAGCTCACACAGTGCGCGGCCACAAACAAGCCAGCAAGGCCCCAGGATTTCACTGGTGCAAACCGACCCAGATGTGCCGAACACGGGTTCTCTTTGCTCAGCCGCCTCAGTGAGAAAGAGCCATCCAGACTTCAGAGGGAAAACCGATGTATTTAGGCAATTTTTTTACAGTAAGATTTAAGTTGACATCCAGAAAGAACATCCTTACCTCTTGCTCCTCAAAAATGGGCTGGTATTTCTCAAGTGATAATTTCTTAAGGATTCCAGTCAGTTCATCTTCAGGAGGGAAAGATGGGAAGAAACACATATTAGAGTTTGGTAAAACGTATCAAGAGTGGTCTTCAGACATTCATCAAGTAGTGGTAATCTTATTTCCAATGAAATTCTACGAAGAACCCCAACACGGCAGCAGCTCGACGCTGTGCTCCCGAGATGAAGCTGGAGGCGGACCCCGCGCCCACTGTGGGGCAGGCCCTCAGCACCTCCCAAAACCCCAGATCAGGCTGTGAAGACAGACACGGGAGGTTCATGCCAGGCTGACTCCGCAGCAGCTGCGACCCCCCACTTCTCAGGGTTCTGGCTGCTGGGACCCAAGCTCCGCCTTCTGCGCAAGAAGAGTTCTTAATTACGATTCCTGAGTGCTGACAGCCGCTCCCACAGTCAAGGCTAATGAGGACGCTAGAACTGACGAGAACGGGCAGGCGGCTTCAGCCCAGAGCTGGGGTTTGGCTCAGGTGTGCAGAGGCTGTAGGCTTCCCGAAGGAAGGACGCGTCCGAGTGGAAGAGCAGAGCCAGAGGAGCACAGGGCAGGGAAAACAGAAGATTTGGGGCTTCATGGTAACAGAGCAGGGAGGATAAAGAAAAGAGACAAGAGCAGCATCTGGGGGCTTGAAGAGATACTCATTCACACATTCAACAGGGATCTGCCAGACTAGGCACAGGGCACTCAAGAGGGACCAAAACAGACAACAGCAGGCTGACAGGCCCAAGGCAGTGAGGAAGAACAGAGTGGGGGCAGATGACAGGAAATGCGAAAATGCTGTTTTACAGAAAGCAGTCAGGGAAGGCCTCTCCTATAAGGTGACATTCGAAGAGCAAATGAAGGAGTGAGCTGTGCAGATATCAAGGCAAAGAGCACCAGGTGGCATCCATACCGAGGAAACAGCAAGTGCAAAGGTCCTGGGGCAGTGAGTACAGTTCACAGAAGAGTCAACTGAAACTTAGGAGGCCTGAGTATTTTCTTTTGCTGAGGAAGATTAACCCTGAGCTAACATCTGTGCCAATCTTCCTCCACTTTATATGTGGGATGCCGCCACAGCATGGCTGAAGAGTGGTGTAGGTCCATGCCTGGGATCCAAACCTATGAACCCAGTCCACCGAAGTGGAGCACACCACTCAGTTCCTTTTTCTTATTCATTCATTCAATAGTGGCTACCAATGTGCCTACTGCATGCTGGGAATGCAAGATGGAAAGCTCTGGCCGTGAAGGAGCTCAGCAGCTGGGAAGATATAAAGAAGGCGACCGCTGATGCACAGTGCTCACCATCAGGCACCCTGCACATGATGACCCCTTTGCTCTTCACAACCCCATGAGACAGGCCCCATCACTGTCCCCATTTACAGATGAGGAAGCGAGGCACAGAAAGGCTGGGCACCATATCTCGGGTGAGGCCACACCGCCAGTCCACGTGGAGCAGGGATTCAAACCCAGTAGCTGAGCCGCCAGGCCTGCGCTGTGTACCCTGCTCTGCCACTTCCCCCACTGGTGATGAGCGCTGCAGGGAAGGGCATCAACAGGGGCTCTGGGGACACAGAGGGCAGTTGACCAGCCCAAGAGACTGGAGGAGCCTCCAGAGAAGAGCTGATGCTGAGCTGGGACGTCTGAGATGCACCCCGCACCAGCACAAACGTAATCCGTGGTAGCTTCAGGACACCAGACCTCTGCTCCCGCTGTTCCCACCACGGGTCTCTCCACTGCGGTGTGCTGGTAAATGTCTAACAACCGGCTCTCGGGGGGAAGTGCAGGCATGTGTATGGGTACATAGTTTCCTGCAGATTTTACTGACATAAAGGATGTGTGGCACACAATCTACAGGTACTAACAAATTATATACTACTTTTTATTATAAATTCCACATGCCAATACTTTCATTGCATTTCAGGCATCTCGCCCCATGCTTTCACTGATCTCTGCCCTACTCTTGTTCCCACAGTCAGTGAGCAGAGTTCCCCCACGACTGCTGGCTGATCGTTCCGTTTACGTGAACACGTAGGATGAGATGAAACAACGAAGATGCACGCTGGCACTTCACGGGAGCCACTGCAGAGCGAGATCATGGTTTTCAAACCCCGAAAGAACACCCTCTCAATTTTTTGTGCTATTCACAATATAGAAGAGATGACACTTTTAAGTTCCATCTGCATAATTAACATCGTCTCCATCACTTTCTAGATTACGTCTAGACGATCTATAAGACAAGAGATCAAGCCCTGACTGGTGGTGATTGCTGATTTCCACGTAAATATCCTCATCAGGGCTGACTTCAAGCTACCAATGTGACCTTCCTGAAGGTGGAGCTGGGGAGAGATGCACAGTAGTAACGTCATTGTATAGTATCCCACGGTATTGATCAGAGTGTAAACAACCTCAAGAGCACAGATACTAGTAAAATGCACGCAAAAATGAGTCAATAATACATTTTGTTTTAAATACCATAAACTTTTATACTTAATATAATTATGATAAGTTCACGTAATTTGAAGTGTTTTTTTTTCTTTTTTCATACATATTTTTTGTCATTGTTGTATTCTGGCTTTTAATAGCTGTGTTTAATCACCAGCTCCTACGTTTCCTGTGAATTTAACAATTGCCCCTGGCCCACCACAGCCCCATCTCTGCTCAGCCCTTGTGGCCCAGCCTGAACGCCTGCTCCTCCACGGAGGCTGCCACAGCACTCCGCGCATTGCTGCGAACACGGGTCTGATCCCATCTTGCATCACAATCATTTAACATTACGATGTTGGATGTGTCTGACCCCCCGGCCTGAGTGAGGCACCCTAACGCCCAGCACAGGTCGTGGCTCCCAGCACCTGCCCGAGAAGCCTTCATGGGCAGACATGAGGCTGGGAAGGTGACTGTCACAGGCCTCATCACTTCCAGTGGAGAAGTCCAGAGAGGGACGGGGGCAGGATGATGGGCAGGGCGTGGGGTCCCTGACTGGGGCCACACGTCTCCCACAAGAGCATCATAAAGAACAGCCATTGGGGTGGATCGTAGGCCCTGTCCTGTGAAAATCTAGTCCCACGGGACAGAGGCTCGTGGCCCCAGGCCCCAGGCCCCCCGAGGGGAAAACTAGGCTTTCCAAGCCAGAGAAATTAACCTAAAATCACTGTTGGGTCCTCCTGTTATCCCAACTGGGGCCCTGCAAATCTTTTTCGGTAACGAGTGAGAGGGAAGCAGAGTGGGCATAGCCCGTGCGTGCAGATATCCACTCTCTCAACTCTTCTTTGGGAAAAGGTTGGGTACAAAGCCCTGACTGAGCCTCCAGGGTCTGGATTCCTGAAAGCCCTGAGGCGGGAGAATCGTGAGTGGGGAGCTGAGGACCCACAGGGAGGCTGGGAGGACCGGGCTGCCGGCGACCCTCTAAAGCTTCATAAAGGATTGCACTACACATCCCAGAATAAATAAAGAGGACGCCAATGGTAGCCCAACCCGGAGTTTCCGGGGCACCTGGGCAGAGCCTGCTCAGCGCCTTCCTCTCGGCAGCTGCGGTGAGATGCCCGCGAGATGCCTGCACACGCGTCCGTGAGGCCCGCACACCCAAGGAGATGTCCTTCCCTCTCTGATCCACACTCCTTAACCCGCACCTGCCTGGGCCCAGCTCGCACCACAGCTCCGCTCCCCGCTGCGCCCCTGCCCCAGTGCCACCAGAGGGCAGTTTTAAAGGACAGTATTCTTCTCTGCATCTCCCTTTATCTTTTGAATCTTCAGGTCTTTGTCTGGGGCCTCACTGCAAGGCCTCCACTCCTGCCTGCCATCCACTCCATCATCCTCTCCTCCTCATGCCCAGGGGAAGGACTTTCAACTCATGCACGCAGGTTCCAGTGCTCTCCTGGCTGCAGTGGGCATCCACTGCTTTTGCTTGCCCAGCATCCAGCCCCTCCTCCTTCTGGAAACGGGACTTTAATCTTCCTTTCAGGGGCCTCTTCTCTCCTGCTCTCAGTCCACACAGCGTCAGCAGGGCAGACTGCGACCCCAGCTCCAAAAGCAGACACACAACCTGGGGCCTGGCTAATAAGCACATTCTACCCCCGTGGACACAGAAATAGCCAAGGATGGGCAAATGATTCAAGTCGTTATAAATACGGCCGAGGTGGGCCAATGACCTTTACCCCTGGGATTTTGCTGGACCTACTAAAAAGTATCACTCTTTCTGCTGCAGTGGCTCAGTTAGCATGAAGAAGAAGTAAGCCTGAAGCTGCTGGGAGACGTCCTTGTTACCACTTGGAGAGAGCCTACCTGAGGTATAAAAAGCACCTGGATCCAGACATGCCTGAAGCACACATAGACATTTCCATTATATGCGCCAACTAATTACCAGTTTCTTAATTTTTGTTTTTGCTTAACCCAGTTTGAGAGGAGATTCTATCACTTGCATCAGAAAGAATTCCGATTTCTACAAGGTTCAGGGTCCCCATGGTGAAGAGGAGGGGCTGGGGTCTCAGGACCGCGGGGGACTCACCCTCGTCTGTGATGGTGCCGCTGCTGGAGCCCCCGCTGCTCTTGGACTGCCGGTGGGACGAGGAGGAGGACACCGAGGACTCGGCCGCGTGCCCTTTGGGTGACGGGGAGGGCGTGAGGGTGGGCGAGGTGCTTTTGGAGGTAGTCGAAGTTCCAGACGGAGGCCTTTTGCTCGTCTCCAGTTTCTGCAGGAAAGAGTAAGACAAATTCATAAGCCATCACCTGGAGGGTGGAAATGATTAAAAGGGACACCCCCAACAAGGAACACGGGTGATATCCGCTCAACAGAATCTAGCCGGGACTGCGGAATCTACTTAGACAAACACGCGGAGCAGAAAGAGCGTTACCAGAACAGTTACAGGCACACCCTCCCCTGGAGCAGAGGGCTGGCGTGGGATGGAGAACGCGGCCCCCGAAGCCAGGAACCCCGAGGACCAGTCCTGCACCCACTGCCCGGGGTCTGTGGTGAAGCCCTCACGTCTCAGTGAGCCCGGCTCTGAACCGGCAGTGGGGCTCATGCACATACCGAGCCCCTTTCTGCTCTTATGTCCCTTCATCGAAACCAGTCACTTCAGCCTTTCACCAAAGGACACGTTATTTTTCCCACTTTGTGTGTGTGTGTGTCACTCAGCTTTAAAAAAAAAAAGTTTATTTGGAAATAATTTTAGACTTACAAAAGAGTCACAAAGATAGAGCAGAGCGCTCCTGCACCTCTCTCAGCCAGCTTCCCTGATGTTAACATCTTACGAAACCAGAGTGCGACTATCGAAGCTAAGAAATTAAACCTGGGACAACACTATTAGCCAAACTACAGACTCCACTCAGGGGCCACGGCGGTCCCACTAATGCCTTCTTCTGATCCGGGACGGGCCCAGGAGCCCAGGTCGCACTGACTTGTCACATCCCCTCGGTCTCCTCCGGTCTCTGACAGCTCCTCAGTCCTGCCTTGTCTTTCATGACCTTGACACTTCTGCAGAGTCCTGCAGCCTGTATTTGCAGCCTGTCCCTCAGTTTGGGTTTCTCTAATGTCTTCTCATCATTAGATTTCTGGATGGATTTTGGGCTGAGGACCACAGAGGCCATGTGCCATTCCCAGTGCATCTTGCGGGAGGCTCAGAGCATCACATCTTACCATCACTTCGTTCAGGTGCTGTCTGTCAGGTCTCTCCATGGTGAAGTTACTGTTTTTCCCCTTATAATTAATAAATATTTGAAAGAGATATTTTGAGCTAACTATCTTGTTTTTCCTTAAAGTCCTGCCCACTGATGGAGGATTCTTTGGTGGATCTCGTCTGGAGCAGTTACCACTGTGACGTTCTAATGGGGAGTTGCTATTTCCCTAATTCCCCCCACATTTATTCTCCGGAATTCTTCTGTAAGGAAGAGGGCTTCCTTCCCTCCCTTTGTTCAGCGCTTTACTCACCTCAGTGCGGGCTCGTGGATGTTTCTCTTATTCTTTGGGCTATAATCCAATGCTGCTGTTATTTATTTTACAGCTGCTCAAAGGGTCGCAGCTTTGGCCATTGAGACTGGTTCCTGTGTCCTTTGACAAGCCCGTCTTTTTTCTCTCTTTCTTTTTAAAAGCATTTCCTGATTTTATGACACCACAGAATGTGTCAGGCTCACCTTGTGATTTCACTGACCGAGCACGGGAATAAACCACTTCCCCAAGGCCCTGGTCCCTTTACTTGGAGAATGGTACTTAGAAACCAAAATCTGGGGACTAGATTGCTCATTGCTACTGGGATGTCACTGCTTCCTGACCCCCTAGTGGACAGAGCAAGGAAAGAGAAGAAGTATCCTGACCCATGTGGACACACACGGCCACAGTTACTTTTCTATCTATCAATCCGTATGCGTACATTTACAAATTCACACTGATTTATACTGACACCTCCGACTTCAATCAACATCCAGAGGATTGTTCTAGCAGTTCCCTTTTGATTCAATCTCTGACAGTAAAAAACTAAGTTCATCACAATTACTTATTTGTTAAACCCTAGAATATACGTAAAGTGTATATACACACCAAAAGTATATATATATATCTGTAAGGTGGTTTCAGAATTTAACACACATCGCTGCAAGAAAAAGACCTCTCAACCAGAGGACAGTGCTTGTGTCTGGCTCCTTCAGCCTTCAGACTTCCCATATCCACGTGACATCCAGCTCCCCGACCACCTACGGCATGGTTACGTCATCCATTCGTAAGAGAGTTAGATCTGGGGTCATGTCTGCATCATCTTTGGTTCCTGCTTGGTTCTGTTTTTGAATTTGCATACAGTAGAAATAACTCTGTTGTGCACCATTCTGTGGGTTTCGACAAATGCATAGTTGTGTACTCACTGACAGAGTACCACACAGAACAGCTCCATCATCGCCCAAATTCTCTTATGCTGTCCCTGTCTAGTCAATCCCTGCCCCCATCCCAACCCATGGAAATAACTGATCTATTTTCCATCCCTGTAGTTTTGTCTTTTCCAGAACGCCATAAAAAATGGAATCACATAATATGTAGACTTTTGAGTCTGGCTCAGCAGAATGCCTTTAAGGTCCATTCAAGTTACTGCATGAATCAAGAGTGTGCTCCTTTCCACTGCTGAGTAGTATCCCACTGCGTGGACGTACCACAGTTAGTTTATCCATGTGTTAATGAGATCTTTCTGGTTTTGGGTGATTATGGGGAAAAAAAACTGCTATAGACATTCACAAACAGATTTTTGTATGAATAGAAGTTTTTAAAAATTCACTTGAGTAAACACCCAGGAGTGAGAGAGCCAGCTCATATGGTACGCATGTGTTTAGTTTTACAAGAAACTGCCAAACTTTTCCGAGGCGGCTGTACCATTTTGCACTCCCACCAGCACTGAACGAGACTTCCAGTAGTTCCACATTCTCACCAGCACTTGTACCTTTTAAAAAAATTTTTAAGTTTTAGCCAGTCTAATTGGTGCATAGAGCTATCTCACCATGGTTTTAACGTGCGTTTCCCTAATAATTAACAAAGTTACACGTCTTTTCCTATGTTTATTTGCCATTTGTGTATCTTTGATGAAGTCTATTCAGATATTTTGCCCATTTTTAAATTTGTTGGTTGTTTTCTTATTGTTGAGTTTTAAGAGTTCTTTATTCAGTAGTTTAAACATGAAGTGGCTAGATGTGCTCTTTTTGCTATTTATCCTATTTAGTGTCTTCTGAACTTCCTGGATTTGTGGTTTAGTATCTATCGTTAGCTTGGGGAAATTCTCAGTCATTATTTTTAAATATTCCTTCTGCCTGCCATTCTGTCTGTCTCTCTCTGTCCCTTCAGGGATCCTGATCACCTGTACGCGAGAGCATCTGCGATCAGCCCACGACTTTTAAATATTCCTTCTGCCTGTCATTCTGTCTGTCTCTCTCTGTCCCTTCAGGGATCCTGATCACCTGTACGCAAGAGCATCTGCGATCAGCCCACGACTTTTAAATATTCCTTCTGCCTGCCATTCTGTCTGTCTCTCTCTGTCCCTTCAGGGATCCTGATCACCTGTATGCGAGAGCATCTGCGATCAGCCCACGACTTTTAAATATTCCTTCTGCCTGCCATTCTGTCTGTCTCTCTCTGTCCCTTCAGGGATCCTGATCACCTGTACGCAAGAGCATCTGCGATCAGCCCACGACTTTCGGGCGCTCTGTGTCTTGTGTTCCTGTTTTCGTTTTAACTCCCTCCTCCCCTTGTGTTCAGTCAGGGTAATTTCTCGGGCCCTATCTTCAAGTTCACCGATTCTTCCCTTGGCTGTGTCAAGTCTCCTGAGGAGCCCATGGAAGGCATTCCTCCTCTCGGTTCCTGCGTTTTCCTTTCCAGCGTTTCCATTCGACTCTTCCTTACACCTTCCATCTCTCTGCTGAAGCAGTCAGTCACACGACCTTGCATGTTGTTCCAATTTTCCAGTAATGCCTTTAACACAGTAACTGTAGTTCTTTTAAATTCCCTGTCAGATCATTCCAACACCTGTGTCATATCTAAGTGGGATTCTGATAACTGCTTTGTTTCTTGTTTCTTGGGAGTGTAGTTTTTCTTTCTTTTTTGTATATGCTTTTTACTAAAAATTGATTATCTTGAGTATAATAAGGGAGACTAAGGTAAATAGTTTTTATGCCTGAAAATAGGTATGGCTTTCCTTCTGCGGAGCCTTTAATGCTCCTTCTAGCTAACTATTTCCCAGAGTGGAAATAGAAGGCGCCCTCTCAGGTTTTGAAAGATTTTGTCAATAAGCTGCCTATATTATTAATATTCTTCCCTCTGCTTTTTCTACAAAGGCATTCCCAGATAGAGCTTCCGATTGAGCAGGAGATAATTAGTATAATCCTACAAGACAGATCTATTTCAGCCAAAAGCAAAGAAACACGGTGTGTGGCCATGTTACGGGGGAGGGGGCAGGCAAGTATCTGAAGGACTCCCTGTGCCCCCAGTGTGGCCACCTGCACTGACGACGTCACCCCCACCCCGCCCTGGGCCACAGCTCTTGCTCTATAACTCTGTGTTCTCCTGCAGTGGCCACGCTGACCTGCTTCAACAACTTGACTGGTTTTCAACTCACGCCTTTGGCCACTGCCATGAGAACATGCCCAAGCTTGCTGTGGACACACACGGCCAGTTATCCTGGTCACCCCAGCTGACGGCCAGGCACGTAAGTGGTCCCCCCAGACCACAAGAACTGCCTAGCTAAGTATGGACTAAGCTGCCAACCTGCAGATTTGCAAGCTAAAGAAATGCTTTCTGTTTTAACCCACAGAGCTTTAGGGTAGAACAGAAAGCTGACATTCACAGCGGGCCTCTGGGCTCCCAGGGATCTGGGAAATGCTGGTGCCCACCCTCCTCCCTGACCGGGCCTCCTCAGACAACTGCGTGTGGGCAGCCCAGCCTGGCAAATACCCCACCACTACAGGGCTGCTGTTCCAAGCAAAGTACAAGAACCAGATTCAAGAGGCTCGTATTCTGAATACTCATTTCTAACTCTTCCTAAGGGAGTCTTTGAAAAGCACTTCGTGTCTCCATCTGGCTGTGGCGTCTCTGACAGAAAGGCTGCCCTGCGTCCTGTGACTGGGGGCAGCGGTTTCCAGGAGGCCTGGGCTGGGCTGGCGGCAACACTCTCTGGGGGTCAGGCAGACTCCCCATTTTCTGTCTTGGGAGACCCATTCAGTTACACTGGGTGGAGCCCAGAAACCTGAATTTTTAAACAGCTCCCCCAGGTTACAGCAGATGATTATGTGAAGAGTGTCAGGTGATTGTTGAACTGGGTCGTTTCCCCAGCTGATTGTTTCCCGAATGCATCTTTTAAGAAAGTCAATTTCCTTTCATCAGAATTTACTTGTCTATAGTCTAGCTATGATAGACGTATCCAAGTAAGGTAACGGGTAATATAATTTATAACTTAGACGCCTATTTCCAACACTGGTTAAAGGAAGTTAATAATAGCTAACACACCTAATAAGATCAAAATAGAAATAGAAAATACATGACAACAGAGAAGAGCACAATGCATCAAAGCTCCAGACTAGCTGACTTACTTTAATGAGTAGCTCTGAGTTTCCCAGTAGCCAAAGCAAAAAGAGAAACATAATAATTATATCATTCTTACCATCTGATGTATCAGTGTCAATAGAGACAGCTTTTCTAGAGCTGAATTCTAAAAGGAACTTAATTATACAGATCCTACTACACAAGTAATTTTAAACAAAATGTATAATATGCTAACGTATAAAGTGAGAGAAACTTTTTCTGGAGCTATATTGTAAAAGGAACCAGTTACACAGGTCCAACTGCATAAGAGACTTTGAATGACAGAGGTGGGAAGCCAACAGTGGTTGGCTGGAAATAAAGACCCTTCCTCACACACCCACGGAAACACCCACCCCTGGAGGCTCCTCTGGGCAAAGGGCAAAGGGCCGGGGCCTGCAGGAGATCTGACTTTTCTCAGGGAAAAAGCTTAACTCACCTAGGAAGCCTGATGAAGATGGGGTCATGCCCAGAGGCAGGGTCCTCAGAGGAGGAAAAGGGCTCCACTGCTCCACTGGGGCACCAGGAACCCACAGCCTAGGGGCTCCCTCCATTCACCAGCCCAGATGCAAGGGCCAATTCTGTTCCCGCAGAGGCGCTGTGGGGTTCCCGCCGCTGCGACCCCCAGAGGCTGACAGCGGCTCGGACCGCCCTGGGGCTGCGCAGAGGAGGACCCCCAGAGCAGGGGCCCACCCACCCTGCGCCCCCATACGCAGCCCTGGCAGGAACACGCACCTTGCCCCCGGGGCTACTGCCTGCAGGGGAGAGCGGGAGCTCGGGCGGGCTGGGGCCCAGCGCCGGCCCCACGGGACTTGACCGATGGCTGGCCTTCTGCTCCGACAGTCCAGCTGCCTTCTTCCTCTGGGCAGCGATTTGGGACAGGACACTGTCTACGCTGCCACCTGAGGGAACAGGAACAGGCATGAGGCCAGGGGTCCGGAGCAGAGCGACGTGGGCACGGGGGACTTCGTGCGGACTTGGCTGAGCTGGACAGTGGTTTCCCAGACCCCCTCCCAGTGTGGCTCGGCGTCAGGGGTGACCACGAGGGGACGATGCATGAGAACCGTGAGGCGGCCAGGACCAGCGGGTGTCACACTCCCAAGGCATCAGGGTAGAAGGCGGTGGAGGATGCGAGTGGCAGGGTCTTCCCCGCCCACGGCCAGCCATCCGCCCCGAGCAGGCACAGACCCGCGCTGGCTGGCTGTCTTCCCACAGCAGCCCCTCTGCTGTGCGGCCCACCGCCTCCCCCTGCACCTCCCTGGTTTCACCCACAGCCTGTCACTAACTTCCTCCCTCCATATGCTCAGGGGCTGCTTCCCCATGGACCCCAATGCATCCCTCCCTGCGACTCCCCCAGTCTCCCGCAACCCTGCATTCTTATGAGAGAAAGGGGGGAAGCGGTAAGGCGCGGGGCTGGGGCGGGGCTGGGGCGGGGCTGGAGGGGACCACAGACCACCGACACTCATGGAGTGTGTACCAGGCACCAGGCACGGCTGCCAACATTTTACATGGATAAACTGAGCCTTTCTAGAGGGCAAATTATCAAAAGCCTCAAAAACTGGCAAATTCCAGAGAACTAACGTTAAGCAAATCACCGACGAGGTGCCAAGCACAGAGGTGGGACGGCCTTACTTAGCGGGCTGTCCACAAGGGCAAACTCGAGAACATGCCCAGTGCTCAGCAAGACGGAACCGGCAAATGAAGGCGTGACACCTCACAGGAACGGGCTGCTGCTTGGTTATTAAGAGACGCTGCAGATAACTGTTGGACACGACAGGCGTTCACAGCACGATGGTGGCGCAGAGAGGAGAAGGGCCACAGCGTCTGCACGTCGGCGATGCGTGTGGCCGAGGCGGGCTCGGAAGTCAGACTGCTCGCCTTCAGGTCCCGGCTCTGCCCCTTCACAGCCCTGTGACCTTGACCAGTCACCTCACTTTCCCAAGCCCCGGCTCCCCATCTAAAATGGAGAGGACACCCTTGCAGGCTGCTGGGGGACTGAGGGAGGGCACCCACTGAATGGGCCTGGCCTGTGCCTGACACACACCACGTGCTCAACAAGTTGTTAGCCTACCTTCACGAAATACCTAGTCCTCATGCATAAAATACTCAGAAAAGATATGTACCAAAGTGTTAACGATGAGCCCTAGGGCGTGAGATGATACTTTTTTCAGTCTTTGCTTTTTTCTGGTGTTAAAGCTTTCCCCACAAGAAGCATACAGTCCTTATGTAACGGCATAAGGCAGAGATGTCCTTCCTGAAAAGCTAGTTTTGGTTAATCCTGGATGCCTTCGGGGAGGACTACAAAGGATGCTGTAAGTCCAAAATAACTGTGGGGCACTCCAGTTGGAGTCCTAATTGTCACCAACTTGCTGTGTGTCCCTGGGCAAATCTCTTGCCCACTCTGAGCTTCAGTTTCCTCATCTGTTCAGTGAAGGGGCAGGATGGGAAGCTGTCTAACGTTTAACCTTCAAGGATTTCAGACACTGTGAAAACACCATGCATTTCTCCTAATCTTTTATAAAATTTCCAAAAAATAAAGCATAATAGATTTTATTTTCTCCCTCTCCAATCCCCCTTGCCCCAAGAAAATGCATAAAAGACACTGTGAATTGTGAATCCACTGAAAAACCCCTTAGCCACATGAAGGAGAAAGACAGCGTCTGCCACTGTTTCTGGAACTGTCTGCAGAGCGAGCCCAGGGGGCAGTTCACACCCTGGGCCCCTAGAGATTTTCCCACATCCCCCAAGTGCCTGCCCAGGTACCCACCGGAGCGGCTGTGCAGCTCCCCGCCGTGCCTGCTCACACCCCCAACCCCACTGGAGCCGCCTGAGGAATGAGGGGAGTGGTTGAAGTTTCCAGAGTTGGTGGGAGAGGCGGGGCTTCTGGAGAGAGACGGAAATTTAACTGCTCTGACGGGAGTCTGCAAGAACAAGGCGGGCGTCTGGGTTAGGGTTTGCTGTTCCTTCCTCTGGACACACAGAATCCCCGTGGGGAGGGACCTGGAGTGCGGCTCCCTCACCCCCAGCCGAGGCTTGCATCCACCCACACGTCCCTGCTGCCAGTGCCCAGCCTGCTAGGGGCCTCCAAAAGGCTGGGAGTTCACTTCCACCTGCAGACAGCCCGACCGTCAGCACAGGCTGAGCCCCATGACACGGACCCCAGGGGCTACCCTGCCTTCAGCATCACCCAGCTCCTCCCATGCTGCAGACCAAGCACAGCCCCGTCCGGCCCGCTCCGAGCTCTCCAGGGCCGGGCCCTCGGTCTCCCACTGGTGATCACTCTCAAGACAGCCTGGGAGGCAGCAGCCAGCACAGGGGTCCAGCCCTACTTTATAGATATGGATGCCCCGCGCTTCTCCAGTCACTTGGCACACGGGGGCAGGGCCGGGTCCTGAACCCCCGTCTTCACTCTGCCCATGTACTGTACCCACAGGACAGAGTCAGTCGACACAGACGGAGACAGTCTCCCACAGTGAGGGATCACTTCAGTCATTACAGAGACACGCAAGGGCCCCAAAATCAGAGACCACTGTGGTTGAAAGGACAGAAGTCATGCTCCTTCTGGGTGCAAGACAACACCAATAGCGCACACAGTTGCCTCCTAGTGTTTGCTCTTGGTCATGGACCTGAGCAATAATATAATGTGGAGCTTCCTTAGAAACCAAGAACCTGGTTTCTGGGCCCACCCCACCCTGCCGGGTAATCTGCAGCAAACACTCCCCCTCTCTGGGTCCCAGTTCCCTCACCTACTGCATGGAAGGTGGATTAGATCGGGTCTCCAAACTGTGTTCCATGGAGCTCCAGGGCTCCAGATAGAGGACAGAGAAGAGGGGTCCCCACTTTCCTTTCCTTTGTCTGTTTACTTACTAAGTTCCTCTAGGATTTCCTCAGACAAAAGGATATCACATTTAAAAGTAAATAAAAACTTCAACCCCTCTGGATTAGCGGGTGAGGCCCCCTCTGACTGCGACACCCCACGGTTTCAGTGAGTGGAGAGTGACGCGTCAGCCCGTGCCAGCCTGGCGACTTACGCTGTCTGTGCTCCCACCGCCCACGCCTACTGCGTGGCCCCTGCTGGCTCTCTGGGGCAGCACAGTCTTCATGGGGTCTGCTTTCCCCGTGTGACACGTCCGGGACCGGTCGGAGCTCCACAGCTCAAAACTGGAAGGGGGTAAGAAAGGGGGGATGACAGCCTTCAGCTTGTCGCTCGGCGGTCTGGTGAAGGGCGCTCCGTTTCGAAGCTGGAAAAGACGGGCCGTGGGTTAGACGAGCCCAGGAGGGCGCCTGGCTCGGAAGAAGACTCCAGGTTTCCCTGCCTCTTGGACGACGGCACCCCACCGGCTCCCCGCCCAAGCCAGAAACCTGTGTGGAGCCCTCAGCGCGCCTCCCAGGGCCGGGCCGTGCACACGTCTGCTCTGCTCCCACTGCCAGCTGCTCCTGGCTCTCTCTGCAGCAGCACAATGAGAACGGGACGGGGCTGGAGAGAGGGCGGAGCCAGGTGGGGCCAGCATGCTGCGAGGGTGAGCATGGGAGCTGGCTGTGCAGGGGACGGCACCTGTCCCTGCAGTCAGAGGGGGCGTCGTGGAGGAGGGAGCCTGAAGGCCACTGCAAGCTGGCCCAGTGAGAACGAGGGAATGGGCAATGCAGACCAAGGGGACAGGATGGGGAAAGGCCTGGGGACCAGAGGAGCGGGACGAGTGTGCAGGACTGCAAGGAGACAGAGCTGAGGGCCTCTGGGGGGAGGGGTGCAGGGGACGGGGGGACTGGGGGGCCCAGGGGGCCCAGGCGAGCACCCTGTGAACCCGGCCAACGCTCCCTTCCCCATGCCATCACACCCTTCCTGCTCCAGCCACACCTCCCACTGCTGACATTTCTAACTGTAATTGAAATCTAAATTTTGAAAATGTGATCTGGGGTCAGTACAGAATCCACACGATGAGGACTGGAGGTTGTCAAGGAAAAGCATTCACACAGTCCACACTCACTTTAATTAAGAAAAGACAGTGAGCCCGCTGCCAGATGGAGCTCTGCGGGGAAGGGCTTCCCACGGCTAAACCCGCCTCGGGAGCCAGGCGGGCATCTCGCAAGGATGCCGCAAACGCCCACCGGCAGGCAGCCTGGCTATCCTCCACCTGCCGAGGGGCGGGCGGGCGCGTTGGCGCCCCTGACAGGGCACGCAGAGGAGCGACAGGGGAGCCAAGACGGAGGGGGGCACCCAGGCCTCGCAGCGGGCTGATCTGAGCTCTCCTGAGCCCTGAACCGGCGCTGCCCTGCTGGACCTGGGCAACCTCACCCAGCCCACAGGAGGGGGCCGGGAAGGGGACCGACCCGCAATGCAGCCACCACAGGGACGCCCCTCCCGGGAGAGACTGGGAACTGCTGTAAACTCTCTCTCATCAACCCAGGAATCCCATTTCTAGGTACTTATCCCCAGGCATAAGGACATTCACCAGAGCTGGTAAAACAACAACTAGAAACCCCAAAGTCCAAACGGTCAGCGCCCCTGGCCAGTCAGACACATCTCATGACGGCATGGGGCATTACGCGGCCACGAGACGTGGTGTGGCTGCAGAGCATTTAGGACACGGAACAGGTGGTCATGCCACACGCTCAGCACCCACGGGAAGATGGCGCCTCCCTCGAGGGCTGTCGGGAGGTCAAATGAGCGGAAGCGGGCAAAGCGATGGGAAGAGCGGCTGGTGCTTCCTGAGCACTGCGTGAGAGGCTGGCTGTTCCTACACGTAAATGGCATCGTAGTCACGGACGCTGGAAGGCAGGGGCTCCACAGAACACGCGGCAAAGGTCAACCGTGATCGCCAGCGTGATGGGCGGTGACTCTACGTTGCTTCTTTACACTTTACTGCCTCTTCCGAGATTTCAACCACAGCACTTCTGTCTTCACACTGACAGTCACTGTTGCTGCTTAACGACGTGATCAAACGTTGGGCGGGACGAGCACCCGCAGTCAGGGTACAGAGACGCCGAGTCCCGCCTGGGCCCGGCAGGGCGGGGGCAGAGAAGGCGGAGCCGGCTCAGCACACTCGGCTCCATGTGTCCTGTGGCACCTGAGGCCCCTCCAGAAGCGCCTCTGCCCCTTCTCCTCTCCAATGCTGCCCTCTCCTGGCCAGCCTCCAGATCAGGGTCTTAGAGCTAAACGGACTGGAGTCCAGCCCCAACCAGGAGGCTCAGTTCAGAGAAGAGCAAAGGAAGCCCAGAGACGTGAGGTAAGATGTCCAAAGTCAGACAGCAGATAACCGAGAGCTCATTCTGGGCTGGGCAATACGCTAACAACTTCCTTGGGAAGTTCTTATTTAAAATCGTTCCTGGGGATGATTTTATTAACGAACCACAGCTGTGAGGGAGAGCATCCCCGACGTCAGAGATTGCTAGCTGTCCCCAGTATCCATCTTCCACATCTTCCTTAGTAGACACCCCTGATGTTTAGATGGGCACGAAACCACCTGGAACAAAGACTTCATTTCCCAGCCTCCTTTGCAGTGTGACATGCTCACGTGACTAAACTCTGGCTGATTTGATGCAAGCAGGAGTGCCACGTGAATTCTCAGAAAACTTCTTTAAAGACATGTGGCACATGCCCACAGCCACCTTTTCTCCCCTCATTTTTCCTGCTGCCTAGAATGAGGCAGTAATGGCCAGAGCTCTGGCAGCCATCTTGTACCAAGAGGTGACCTTGGTAATAAAAGCCATGCATTGGAGACCAACAGGTAGAAGGGACCTTGGTCCCTAGCTCCATGAAACGACATACCAATCCCGAACTCTACTTGAGAGAAATAAGCCACTGTCTTATTTATGCCACTGTTATTTGGGGACTTCTGGTACTCATAGATGAACCTAATCCTGATACATCTCTAGTTTATAGATGAGGAAACTGAGGCCTCTCAGGCTGGAAAGAGAACCCTCCCCCGTGAGTCCTCTCCCCCGGCTCTCCATAACCCAAACGAAGGGTCCAGTGTCACCCATCAAGTTCTGCTCCTCCAACGCCCCGTCGTCAGTGCTGACTCCCTGCCAGCACTGAGCACCTGCACAGCCTCCCCCGCGGGTTAGGGCGGGATCGTCCCGCTCCTCGGTGCCGGAGCTGTACCCTGTTACAGCGTCGACATCACCCCACCTGTGAGCACCACAGAGAGAGACGAACATCCACCCTCCTCGTAAACCCATCACCTACCGACCGGCGGGGACTGAGGCGCTTTCCAAAGGGCCCTCACTCACCATGGTTGTCAGCAGTACATCCTCCTTCTCTCCTCTCGTGCTCCCAGGACCTGAGGGACAAATGAAGTTTCCTGAAACGACCCCCACCATGAGCTCCTGGCAGGGGGATGAGAGATGAGGCGGCCTCCATCCTGGAGAACCAACTCCCCCGGGTGATTAAATATTTAACAATAACTGGTAGTCAATATCTGAAGAGAAGGAAAGCATCTAAAAGGAATCTCAGAGCGCGTGCTCAGCTTTCCCATAAACCACTGTCATGCCGGGTCAGACCGCAGTGACCCGGCTCGACAGTCTGTCTCGGACAGCGGTGCTGAGGAGCCAGTCTGGGTGCACGCAGTCTGCCTGTCAGAAGGACCTGATCTAATTAATCCCAGTCAGTGTGGCGACCTCCTTCAGCGCCCTGGGAAAATCATCCAACTGTTGAATACCTCCAATGGTGGGGAGCTCACCACCCTTTCTCCCAGGTAACTCATTCTATTTCGAACACTGTCAGAGCCAGAGACCAGCCACCCTTGACGGCAAAGGCAAGAGGGAGGAGGTCCCTCAGCAGGGCCAATGGGACAGGAACCTGGGGTCTTAGACACTAGCTTCCCTGTTCATCACGCTGACAGCATTTGTGTCCCTGTCAGACCAGCCACCCTGCTCCAGTGTCACATTCCAACATCACTTTGCCTCTGTCATCAGCCCAGGAGGGAGGACAGAGGGGAGAGGACTTGCGTTTGACCATTCTGGAAATTCTACCACACATGCAGCTTTTTCTTACCATTGTCTTTCGTTGTGGGGGCCACATCGGGGAGCCCAGAGCGGCTTGTCTTGTCCTGGGGGGCCGCCCTCATTGTGGAGTCCAGCGCTGGCTCCGGCTCGTCACAGAAGGGCAACGGCTGGTTGCTGGACAGCCCACGAGGCAGGGTCTGCATGAGTTTGAGCTTCCGGAACCGATTGGACATCCGGTTCCACCAGGACTGCAAGAGAATGCAGAGCAGAGGTCACGCCCTGGGAACACCTAGCCCCAGATAGTGACTGCACTTCACACGTGCTTCCCCACCCCCTTCTGGGCCCATAGCAGGCATTACCAATCGACCATAGCACATCTTCCCAAAAAGCCACGGTTCTCTCTAGGTCCTTTCCAACCGGCCCTTAGGGGCCATTTCCAACAGGCTGGAGGTGGCAGAGAGCCCTGTTTGCCACTTCTCGTCTAATCAACAGCCTCACTGTACACACTGCGAAACCGAGACCGAGATAGGGTGCCAACTCACTCCAGGTCCTACAGTGAGTCAGGGACAGACAGGTGGACACAGAAGCAATGCCAAACACCTTAACATCCGTCACTGCATGACCTCTTTCCCCCTGTGCCAGTGATGTGAGGGGTGTCAGGGTGTCCACGCCAGGGCCTGGGCCCTCTGCTCCTATAGCTGATGCCTCCTTGCCTGGGGCGAGGACAGGGGCCACCCAGGGTGTCCTCATAACCCCAGTCAGCTCGGAGGGAGGCTGGGAGGGTCCGGCCCATGGAGACGGCAGGGCAGAGAGGGTGAAGGGACCTATGCAAACATGGCGAGGAAGACCCGGGGGCTCAAGGGGGATACAAACACAAAAGGAACGCCAAGCCCACAGGTGGGAGAAGGTGCTGGAACCCCACACTGGATGGGGGAAAAATAAGTTTGATTTCAACCAAGTAGAGCAGGATGGGAGGATGAAAAATTAAAATACTTGGCTTGAGTTAGAAATGAGCACCTGGAGCTGGGTTTGGGGGTTTGGGGAAGAGGCCGACGGGGGCCTGTGGGCCACACAGAGATCCCAGAATGGCACCATCAGCAGACATTCCACATACTAAAGCAGAGGCCGCAGACGGCCTGAGGAGAGGTATTTGATTTGGCCAGCTCAGTACTACATCATGCAGAACTTTACAAAATTCCCTACATTTATAAATTGAGTTCCCACATCAAAATCTGGATTTCCAGTTTCTTCTGGAAAAAAATGGGAAGATCTGGGCAACGCAGACCCGTATTCTGGCAAAGCAGCCACTGCTGCCACCAAGTGGCTACGATCACCCCGGTTTTCCCTGGTCCTCACTACTCCCTACTGCCCACCTCCAGCCTACCTCTCACCCCTGCTGGGCCCCCTACCCCAGCCGAAACCAGCCCTGGGTTAACAGGCCATGGTGGGCATCCCTGCCCCACTGATCCAGCTCTCCGACGCCCTTCAAGACAGGAAAAGGCAAACCTTGAGCCCGCCTTTGTCATCGGGTAGCACAGGGACAGTCCAGGGCTGCCGCACCCTCGAGTGGGGCGGGGGTGGTGGGTGGCCCGGCCGGCCTTTGTCTTTATTCACCTGCATGCAGACAGACGCCAGCAGTCGAACAAGTTCCGTGTCTATGGGTACAAAAGGCAGCGTTTTACCCACAAATATGTCTGTCGAGCCAAGGGGCGGGGGCCCAAGATGACCCCCATCAGCCTTAGAATGTGGCCTGCAGCCCCACGTCCATGTTCCTCCAGGGTCAGGCGCCTGCCTCTCCACCTGATCTTTGGAAGGTGGCAAACAGGCCAGCATGGCTTGAGCCACTTCACCGGAGAGAAAAGCCAGAGGGCCTCGCCCCACAGGAAGGCAGGGGCTGGTGTGCTTAAAAAGCACAGGTTCTGCGGCCAGACAGCAGAGGTTCAAACACTGCCTCCGCCCCTCCAGGGCTGCGCAACTGCGGGTGAATTAAGCAACTTCTCTGTGCCTCTGTAAAATGGGGGGGACATTAGCACACACTACATAAAGGTCTTGGGAGGATCAAGAAAATTCCTGGCATTCGATAAGTGCTTAAGAAAGGTTAAGTATTATTAATTATTATCAAACTATTTTTAAAAGGCTATAAAAAAAGATTGAGAAGAAACTACTACAACCTATTAAGAGCGCTTTTCTCTAAACAACTGTTTCTTTTTTTCTCTCCCAGCGTTCCATAATAAGCATGTTTCTTCAAAAATTTCGGGCAAAATCTTCATTTAAAAGCCCACTAGGAAAAAAAAAATCCACTGTGGGTAGATGGTTCTACTGGGAAAAGGAAGGGAGGACATGGGTGGGGAGTGAGAGAGAAGAGACATATGGAAAGAGACAAGTGTGTCAGAGAAGAGCGTGTGCGACGCAGCCCGGGGCCGTGGGGGACTCTGATTCTGGACACCGTGACCTCTTGACACGCGAGCACAGCCCCCATAGGCAGAGTGAGAGCACTGGACCTGGGCGGAGGCCCCCACTCTCCAGCTGGGGCCAGTCGTGTCCCTGGTCTCGGTCACCCCGCCCCCGGCATGAGAGGATGTAAAGCTGCTTCCCCCGGCACACACTGCAAGGATGGGGTGGAACCAAGCGCGTGTCTGTGGCATCTGTGATGTGCGGGCCTGCAGTGGGGAGGGGTGGCGAGGGTGACACTGCCGGCAACGAAGGGCGCCCAGCCTGCCACCCGCCCTAGCTACAGGCGGCAGCAGCAGTAACCCTACTTGGATCGCGGAGGTGGGAGTTCTCTCCCCAGGCAGCAGGCTGGTATGCGGCTCAGGGCTCAAAGCTTGGGGCTCAGGAGGGCCTCCCAGCTTCTCCCTCTCTGGGCTGAAACTCTGGGGTAGTAGGAGAGACGACAGACAGAGAGGCTCTGCCCCTTGAGTTGGCTATTTGGAAGCCCCAGGTCCCAGATGAGGGCCCGTCACAGTCGGGGCAGGTCTGAGGGGGGCAGCAGGTGCCAGCTGGGGACCAAGAGAGGTAGGCCAGTAACAGCGACAGTCCCGGCACGGTGCCCTCGAGCCAGTGACCTCCACCCACACAATGAAGCCGAGGGGCATGCTCCACCTCTGATTCTGCTCGTCGGATGGCCCCTGCAGTTTCCTCCGGAGCCACCCGGAGTTCCTGGCTGCAAAGCGCAGCCACCGTTCTAGGATTTGCATGGACTGCCAAGGCAGACCCACGCCCTGCTGCCCTTCCCCCTGGGAGGCCCAGCAGGCTGGCACTGGGAGAGGCCGCAGGGACCACCTGGTCTCAGCTCAGCCCCCTAGGAAGGGAGCGACTTGCCTAAGGCCACACGGCGAGCTCGTGGGGCTTGAGAGCGGCCTCCCCCAGGAATGAGGAAGTGCTTAAGACGCAGGTGAGCATCTCAATCCCAGCCAGAGAAAGGCTGGCGGGCTTAAAACTCTTTTCCTGAAACAACCCACCAGGATCACTCAGCAGCATCACTAGGTCAAAGGCCGTGTACCCGTTTTTTGCACGAAGAGTGACATCAGCTCCCTGGTTTAGCAGGTATTTGACAATTTCCTTATTCCTGGGGAAGAAAGAAAAAGCCAGAGTTAAACCCACTGGAAGTGAAGGCGTGGCTTTGCTTCTGGGCAACAAGCCTGTGACTACATGCAGCGCCTGTCTCCAAGCGTGGGACTGCAGGCCTCTCAGCTCGTTCCCCACCCCTTGGGCAGGCCAGCCGCTCATGATGGAAATCAAAGCCTCGTGGAACCTTCTAGAACAGATGAAAACCAAAGGCTCTGCCCAAAAACTACTGTCCGCCACGACCACACACAGACCCCACTCCCCCCCACCCAAATCAGGACCCCTGCATGTCAAACAGGAAGCCTTGAGCGGGCCAAGCTGGCTGACGCGGAAGTCTGAGGCCCGTCAGACAAGAACGCAAAGTGCTCGCGGTGACGCAGGCAGGTGCTAGGATCAGCTGAAACAGGGCAGGGGAGGAGCCCCCAGCCCGGAACCAGACCACTCAGCAGCCCCAAGACTGCGCACAGACCCTGCCTCACAGCCAGCTGACCCAGGAGGCCTCCAGGAGGATGACGGGGTGACAAGGGGTTCAGACGCACCAGTCAACACCGACGCCTATTCAAAAGGAGAGGCTCGGGCCAGTCAGCCCCGGACATCTCCAGGGAGCCAACGGGATGAATGGCCAACGTGCATTCCCAATAGGGGCACCTTAGGGCGGCCACTCGACATCAGCGTGAAAACTCCAAGTGAACCAATCACTCTGTTCGATTGAAATCAACCTACAGAAACTTATCTCTCTGCTTGAATCGTTCCTGGTGCATGGTTTTCACGGCCACTGGTGACACTCTGAGATGAGGTCGGGGACATCTGGGCATAGGAGGGTGGGAATGCAGGACAGAACAAGCCTGCGCTGCTTTAATCTTTTCTGTGTGCCTCAATGTCTCCACGACCCTGGGGATTATCTGCAGCATCTCAGGACCAGACAGCCCCATCAAGGACCCCAGCTCAGCCTGAGCACCCTATCAGCCTGACCGCTGAGGGGCGCAGCTGGCACTGACCCGTGGTAGGTGGCCTGCATGAGGGCCGTCCAGCCGTGCGCGCTGTCCTGCTTGTCGACATCGGCACGCCTCTCCACCAGCAGCTGCACCAGAGGCAGCTGCCCCATGACGGCGGCCAGCATCAGGGGTGTTGCCCCGTCCCCGTTGACCAGGTTCACGTGTGTGGGGTCTTCGTCGGCAATCTCTTTGACCAGCTGGAAGTTTCCTGCAAACAGAAGCAGGGGTCCTGATGATCCACAAGCCTGCCACTCAGCTAATTCCAGTGGGTTCGTTTAACCAACACTAGCTGAGCCGGCCTCTACACTGGGCTACCAGCCATCACAGGGGCGACAAAGCTGAGTTAGGGGTAGCCCCCATGTCAAATCCCTCAGTCTTTGAGGGACAGAGAGGAACATAAAGATGGCTTTACTAAAAGAGAGAAGTGTTGGTATCTTAGGAAACGAGATAAAGGAGACAGGGGAAGGGCAAGGCACCTGCAGAAGGAGGGATCAGGGAGGGCTTCCTGGAGGCAGGGTCTATACCAGGAGAGGAAATTTTAAGCTAAATAGCCCTTCATCACAAAGAGCCTGGAGTGGGTAGGTGGGCAGCCAGGCATTCAGAGGTGGGGAAAAGGCAGGATAAGCCATGGGGTCTGGCGGGAAATGGGGAGGCAGCGTGGGAGGGTGGTCTGGAATCTGTGTAAAACTCCAGCCCCCAAGCTCAGAACCTCCCAAGTCAGAAAACAACAACGTGCCCGTTCCTTCCTCCAGCGCTCTGGGTGGCCTTGAAGGGGACTACGAATACTGGGCAGGGAGAAGGTGGCACTGAATTCTTAGCTATCCAGAAAGATTTTTCAAAGCGCTTACCCATTTTCAATGCATGGAAAATATCAGGTCGCCTTTTCTCCTCATCTGGGTAAACAAAGATGTCCAAAGTTAAGCACAGAAAGGTTGACTATGACAGAAAAGTCACAAGGGTGCAACAACACAGCACAGCTTCAAAAACGGCCTACTTTTCAAAAGCAACCGAGCCCGAGACCTACGTGATGCACGAATCTGCAGCCCTCTGGAAGGCTCACGATCAGAGTCCAGAAACGCCTCACAGACAGATCTGGGGAGGCCACTCGGCCAAGGAAACAGGCGCCAGCAGACCACTTCCTGGTCCCAGGCTCACAAAGTAAGCATTTTTAGCCATTCCAAACTTTAGGATGTCCTTTCTTAGACGTGATAGAAAAGCATAGTCTTGGAAAAACCTGAGTTCCTATGACGATTTAAGAAAGAATCAATGATTCTTTTCTCCTAAAAACTAAACTAAATGGGCAAGCATGAGATAAATGCAGAGCAGAGACACTGCGCAGCCGAGCCCAGAGGGAGGTCACGGCATGGGTGCCACAAGAGCCCCATTTTTTTTCCTTTCCTTCCCAGTAAGAAGCAATCTGAGCAGGACCCTGAGTCACCCCTGCCCCAGACCCACAGACCCACTCCCTGCAGGCGGCTGCCCACCTCACGTCTTCATGCTGTCCCTCAGCCTAGCCCCCTGGCTGGTGCAGGACTCCCACCCATCCCCAAAGCCAGGCCTCGCTGCACCCCTCCATGCTAGCCCCTCCCTCACCTGCCCACCCATCACCCTCCTCCAAGCTTAGGCTAGTGGGGACCCCGCTCCTGTTGGAAAGTAGGCATCCTGGTGACCAGTCCCCTGGCTGGCGGTCGAACGCGGGAAGTCTGCAGCCTTTGACTAACTCCAGGATGGAGCAGCTGCGAGAGGCAACCTGTGGCTCTGGGCTGAATCTCTGGTCCAGACTGGGCCCTCGGGGGGCTGGGAGGAAACTGCCATGTGGCACGAGGAGCACTGAGTCTGGAGCCGGCACACAGGATGCGTGCACCTGTCTAGAGCGATCTGTCTCCTCACCACTGGAATGGGGATAACGTGCTAATGCGGGGACCACGTGGAGGTTGCAGGGATCAGGAACATGGATGAAAATATGCTTCAGAATGGTCAGGCCCTATCCAGAGAGCAACTGTTACCGTTCCTCATGACCAGCACTCACCCCAGCAAGCGTAACTTTAAAGGGCCAACTGACATGGAACCAAATGTCTGATTTTGCCTGTGAAATACCATTAAGAAACGACCCTGCATCTTAGCTTTAATAAATATGCCATGTTCCTTTAACTGTTTAAAAGTTTACTTTGCTGTGGGCCGAGGCCTTCTCATGCCAAGACCCTTTGACAGCAGAGTGTCACCAGGCCTTCGTGCTGGTTGCTAAGCAACCATCTGGTACAAATGAATCCCTGAGTGTCCAGTGTGACCCCAGGAGGCTGGGGCAGCTGTCCCCTGATGCCAGGTGGCCCTGGGCTGGTCCCTTCCTCACTTTGGGCTCCAATTTTTGCATCACTATCAGAGCAGCTCTGGGGACCTGGCTCCAGCCCAAGAACACCCACGTTGGGGATGGGGAGGGTATCACAATGACAGTTCCAGCCCCAGGGTCCCCTGTCCTGCAGCTAACGTGAGGGAAAGATCTGGGGGGCTCCAAGGCCCCGGTGGGGAGGATTTTCCGGCATCTCACGGAAAGAGCTGGGGGCTAGTATTACTTACTTAATAACCTGTCATTATTTATACCATGTCCTCTGCCCTCGCTGCTGTCCCACCTGAAGGTTCTTCCCTGAGGACCCGCATGGTGCACTCCCTCAGCTCCTCAGGGAGGCCACCAGCTGGCCCGTTTCACATGGCAGCTGCATGGCCCACCTCGGCCACTCCCAAACCCTCTACCGAGCCCTTGTCTGTCTTCTCCCCTAGCACGTGGCACCCACCGAGCTATGTAACTTAGCTTATTTGCTGGGCTCCTCCCAGTTGGCTGCAAGGTCCTCCAGGGCAAGGACCGGGGCTTGTTCCTGGTCGATTCCCAGGTGCCAAGAAGGGTGCCTGGTACAGAGCAGACACCCCACAAATATTTGCAGAATGACTGAATGAACGAATGGTCAACAAAAACAAGTAACAGCTTCTGTGTACCGAGCGCTGTCTGCACGCCAGGCGCCGGGACACACGCCTTACAGGCATCCTTTGACTGTCACTCAGGGAACCTCACAAGGCAAGTGCACTGACTATGACTGAAGGAGGACACTGAGATCCTGAAAGGACAACGAACATGCCCAAGGCCGCCCAGCCACAAAGTGGGAGCACAGAGCCTCAAACCTGGGTCCGGTCGACGGGGAGTCTACACCCGCAACCACACCCCGATCCCACCAAAGAAGACAACAGTAACAATAACGTGGCAACAGTGGCTGCCGCCATCTGTCTCGTGCTCCCTGGGCCAGGGTGGCCTCACTTAATCCTCACAGCAGCCCTGGGAGGGGGTGTTCCTGCCGTCCCAAATAGGGACGGCGAAACGAAGCTGGGTGAATTCAGGCAGTTGGTCCAAGGCCCCTCGGCGGGCAAGGCAGAGCCAGGGTTGATCCAAGCAGACGGTGACCTTGGGCACATTCCCATGTGTCTGAGACTCTGCTGGAAACAGGAAATCACCTCCCCAGGATGCCAGCACGATCCCTACTGAGGCCTGTGGGGAGCTAAGCGCCAAGACCACAGGCTGAGGGCAAGCTGAGGGACGGAAGGACAAGCCCCAGAAGAAGCACCGCCTGGAGCTCACAGCGGGCTCACGTTCTGGACCGTCCACTCGCAGCACCGGGACCTTGAGCAAGTTACTCTCCCTGCCAGCCTGACCTCCCCTGCCCGCACCACGGTGAACAGAGAGCCAGCAGGGTGAGACTCTGCGTGGAGGGTGTGCTGCGCACGGCAGGGACGTGAGGGGGCCGTCCCCGTCCCAACCTCAGCTACAGAAACAAACGTACCAACATCACGTTTAAAGGAGGCCCACAGCCTGTGTCGGGGAAAAAACCCTGTTTGAGGAGACCGGAGCCTTCATTTCTAACTGCACCACCACATTCGGGGCCAGGGGCCTCATGCACCCGACGCCACCTTGTTTTCTGCTCACGATCACCGGGTAGTCGTCATCATAACCCCATTTTACAGACGAGGCAAAGGAAGGCTCAGAAGAGCTCCGTGCTTGCGCAGCTCTCAAAGGCCCTGCCAGCGCTCGAACCAGGCGGCACCACGTCCCCGGGCTCTGCCCGCGGGATCCCTCACCTGCTGGGTGTCACTCACTCAGCTTCTCCCAGGTGTGCGACCTGTGCCCAGCTTCTGTCCCTCTCTGGGCCTCAGTTTCCCAATCTGCACAAGCTAAGAGGTCTCCTGGCTTCAGATAGGTTTTCCTGAACTTCACTCCTTTTTCCTCTCTGTGTAGGTGTCCTCTTTATTTTTGCCATCTCTCTGTCATTACAGGGTCTTTAAACTTGCTTACTTCAGAGTTGTTCTGATTGGCTGATGCATTTCTAAGAAGCTCTTCCCAAATTTGCAGCTTCTTTTGATGGGTGGGATGACTGCATCCTCTCTGGATGCTGCCGAACTTCTCCACACTTTCAGGTCTCTTTCGCCCTCTGTCTGAAGGCCTTTCCTCCTGATTTGTACCTTTCCGCCCCAGCTGCTCATGACAGCAGCCTGTCATGACGGCCTCGGCTGCCTCAGTCACGTCACTGGAGTCAGACCCATCAGAGAAAGAGGGACCCGAGGCCGTGGATGACACGCATTGCACAGGCCTACCGCACAGGATGGACTAGGGGCTTTGAAAGGCAGCAAGTCCTGTGGCAGGTTTGCTAAGGATTGTCCAGACAGCCCTTTAAATGCTAGAAAGATGGCAAAAAGAAAACAGAAACAGGACACATGAATAGGAGTTGAAAAAAGAGAAACTCAAAAGTGGCTGCCTGAGATGTTAAACAGTCTTTGGGGGCTGACCGCGGGTGGTCAAGCACACCGTCCTGGAGCAGGGGTTGGCAGACTATGGTCCTGCCTGTTCCTGTAATTACGGTTTTTATGGCTTTACTGCAACATAGCCATGCCCACTTGTTTACATATCACCTACGGCTGCTTTCACCCTAGCAGAACTGACGGAGTGGTTACACCAGAGCCGGTAGGGCCCACAAAGTCTAAAATATTTATTATCTGGTTCTTTACGGACAAAGCTTGCTGACCCCTGTTCTGGAAGGAGCGCAGGACCGCCTGCGTCAGGCTGCCCCGGCTAGGGAGGGGCCTTGCTATGTGGCTTCCCAGGCTCTGCCCGGAGCTACCAGATCTCTCCCTGGAGGGCGGGCCAGGAGCCCTGCACGTAACGGCACTGCCCACCGACTCCTATGCTCGGCACATCTAGGTCCCACCGTTCTGCAGGCTGGACTCTGACTTCTGCGGGCCCTTCCGGTAGGGCGATCCTCGGCTTCAGCCATTTAAACAGTGTGGGTCCTCTGTGAGTTAGCCACGGTGGGGCCTAGGGGAGGAGGGGCAGCCTGACCTGTCTTGGGCCTGACAGTGGTCAGTGGGTCCAGGTAATCTGCAAGGTCCCTGTGCTTGCGGTCCAGTGCGACCTCGAAGGCAGTCTTGTCCAGCACGCTGAGGTGGTCGGGGTTGGCCCCCTTCTCCACCAGCTGCTGGGCCATGCCGAGCCTCCCAGTGAGCGCTGCCAACATCAGCGGGCTCCAGCCCACGGTCCGGGCCGCGTGGCTGGGGTCTGCGCCCCACTCCATCAGCAGACGCACCACGGCCTCATGCCCGTGCTGGATGGCAGCCATCAGGGCCGTGATGTCCAGCCGCTCGTCCCTGCTGTCCCCAGCCCCTGGCTGCTCGCTTGAGGGGTTGTGACGGTCCACGAAGGCACCGGCTTCCAGGAGCAACTTCACCACGCCCAGGTGGCCGCCCCGAGAGGCCACCGTGAGCACGCTGGCCCCCAGCCGGTTCTGGGCATTGACATCAGCCCCGTGATCCAAAAGGAGGTGTGCCACGCTCACGTGCCCAAACCTGCCAGGAAGATGGAGAATTAGTGACACTACACACGGAGCACTGATAAGAAGACAGTGTACGCAATCCTCGTTTGTCATTAATTATTAAAGTCCTAGAAGCTGCTTAGAGTAAAAGGCCTTCTGCTGCTGCCAGGCACTGTGCTGGCCCTGCATATACACCACCACAAAGGTGAGCACTGTCCTGTCTGGGTTCGAATCCCGCTCTGCCATCCACTAACTGCACGACCTTGAGAGAGAACTTCAGCTTCTTTGTGCCTTCATTTCCTCCTCTGTAAAATGGGCTTATAATTGTATCTACTTCAAGGGAATGCTGAGGATTAAATGAGTCAACACACATAAATATATCATAAAGATGCAATACACATAAAGCATCTAGAACAGCGCTTGACAGAAGGAAGCACCACATACATTAGCTTTATCATCGTAATCATTTTACATTATGCAACGTGCAAGGTCACCCAGCCGGAAGGGCCGGCGTCAGGGTCAGAACCCAGGCCTGTCTGAATCCTGCCGCCCTTGCTTCCTCCCCTACACCACCCGCCTCCTGCGTCTCAGAGGCTCACTCTATTCTGCTTTACAGCCTGGTAATCTCTCTACCTCTGCTCTGACCTCCCATGGGCAGGGCCCTGTCTGACTCACACCCACCCTTCCCCTCCCCAAATGTACACACGAAGAAAGTCCTTAGGGAGGAGACAGCAGCAGACCCCTTGCCAAGAGGTGTGGCGGGGCTGTGGTCAGCAGAGATGGGCCTGGGCACCTCGAGTTGGCGGCCTGCTGCCACCTGCTGGCAGGAATGTCCGAAGCCGGACCTGAGCACTGGGCCTGGGCCAGACCCCCCTCAGTGAGGCTGGGAGGATGGCCCTGCAGGGACACTGGGGAGAGAGACCTGTGCCCACCAAGTCTCTGACACCAGGAAGACGAAAAGAGACGCCTCTTCCTGGCAGAATCTCCTCCTCCTTTTGCCGCCAGAGGGCAGAAATGTCCTGTTTTGCAGCATTTTTTGGACTCAGAGCTGGAAGGGGCCTTGGACTAACAAGGAAAGAATGACAAGAGGGGCTGGCCGTGCGGCACCAGGTCTCACGAGACCATAAAGCCTCTGTGGGCGGCTTTCTGAACCTCTTGCGTGCTCCTCTCCTCCTGGAGCCGGGTTCTGTACCTCATCGGAAGCCCAGGGCCTCCTCGATCCCTGAGGAGGCACGGCCAAGGCTGAACTCCGGGCTGAACTGATGAATACCTTCTGGGACGTGACCCTTAACAGCCCCGGGTCAGCTCAGCCTACGCAGCGCAGCCAGCAGAGGGAGAGCCCGGTGAACTGGCTCCCCCAGCTGCAGGGGGACTGGGCCTGTCCCCACTCTTCTGCGGAGCAGAGAGAGCACAGGTCAAGCTGAAATAAACACACACGCAGAAAGCTGCCACCCCGCCCAGTCGCCCTGTCCAGAGCTGCTCCTTCCTGCCCATCCTCCACGAGGATAGTCCCAAAAGCGAAAATGGTATTGCCAAACCCTAAAGCTGATGGCCACGTCCCAGCATCCCACTGCCTGAGGGAGGCCTGCTGACTTTGTCGACCTCACTTCCTCCCACTCCGCACCCTCCGGCACAGCCACCTGCCTGCGCTCATCAGCTGTACTCCTCCACACCTGTGCCTCCCACCTCTCTGACCAAGTACTCTCCTGCCCTCACCTACTCAGCACGCCCTTTCTGCTGCTTCGGGATTCAGCTCGGATCTCACCTCCTTTGAGCAGCTTCCCGACCACCCCCTCACTAGTTCAGGCACCCCTCATGGGAGCACCTGCAATTCCCTGTGCTCGCCTCTACTGGTACACCTGAGCCCTCCTGTAATTGTGTCTCCCTGTCAGACTGGGCACTCTCCAAGGACAGGGCTGGGGGCTGACCCACAGTGGAGCTCCGTCAACCTTGTCACATGAGTGAGTGAACCAATGACTGGCATAACCACACAGGGGATGGTCCAGAGACGGGCGGTGGAAACGGCTGAAGAACTGGCGCAACATGCCACAACCCGAAGAACCCACAACTAAAATATACAACTATGTACCGGGGGCGGACTCGGGGAGAAAAAGCAGGAAAAAAAAAAAGAAGACTGGCAACAGTTGTTAGCTCAGGTGCCAATCTCAGGGAAAAAAAAAAAAAGAACTGGTGTATCCCCCACTGGAGCAGAGAATTTTAAAAGATTACAGCCTCTACTTGTCAAGCATGAGGCAAAATCTAGTATAATTCCTAAGAGCAGATTACAAGGTACTGCCACATTTTTATCTCATTTGATCTTAATAAACTCTGAGATAAACTGATGATGCCCATTTCACAAATGAGCAAACTGAAGATTAAATAGAAGAGGACAATCCAGACTCTCTCGATTTGAATGTGACGGGGGCAAATCCGAGCCTAGACCCCAAAACCCCGAACCCCTGCTCTTCCATTCGAACAGATTCTCGCAGAGGAAGGACTGCATTTGAGCAGAAATGCTGACATCTGGAATACCTTCTGAACTCACGGGTGGCCCGAGGTCACTCAATTAGGTTGAAATATAAAGGGGCTCCAGGAAGGCTGAGAGCACGGTGCAGACGCTCCGCTTCTAGCAGGTACTTGCTGAGGACCGGGAAGGTGCGGCTGTCTCAGCAGCTGCTACTATTACCAGTTAATTTCAGCAATTAACACCTGTGTTTAAAGACCTGGCCCACACTCCCACCACTCAAAGCTCTGCCACACTGGCCGGGGAAATGAGGGCAGGAGAAGGAAAGCAGAGAGGTCACGGGTGAGGTCAGAGATAAGCACACACCACGCAACCTGTCCCTTGAGCACTGGGCAGACTCGGTGAGTAGCTTCCTTGTAGCCAACACCAAGAGGAAAACGGTCAGTGACAGGATTCACGGCTGAGAGCAGAGGCTGGGAGCACAGGCTCTGGTGCCACCTGCCTGGGTGTGACTTTGACTCTGTCACTTACTAGCTGTGTGGCCTGGGGCAAGTTACTTAACTTCTCTGAGCCTCAATTCCTCATCTGTAAAATGGGGATGACAATACTACCTACTTCCTAAGGTTTTGTGCGGACAGATTGAGTTAACTCATTTTTTAAAAAATAAGTGACTGATACAGGTTATCACTTTAAGAATAGGAAAAAACACAAATATAACCATTTTCTGATACTAAAACATCCACCAGAGACCAAACTGCAGTGAAGGCACAGGGTCTCTGATGGCCTGGCCTGAGCTGGTGACAAGCTTTGGAACACAGAGAGCTGGGATGATAAATACATGCCCCTTCCACCAAAAGCAGTGGCTGCCGGGAGCATGGTTCTGAGGCGACTCCAGGCTCAGGGAGGAAGAGCAGGAGACTGGACCGTGATGGCACACGGCCACGCACTGTCCCTGACCCGAGGGACAGACAGACCATAGCCTTCAGCAAGTGCCCCATACGTATTATTCCTCGCCACTGAGCTTCTGACACGAATCAGGCAGCAGAAAGTACAAGCGTGGCCCAACACGGACAGAGGCGACACCTGAGGACAGACGGTCAGCATCACAGACTGAAGGACAACACATTGCAAAGTCCCCAGGCCCTGCCGAGGCTCAGGCAGAGGTCCAGAGTCAACCCTAATCCTCTCATAGGATCGTCACATCCTGCCACTTTCTCCCAGGAGTGAGAGAGCATGCCACAGCTAACGCTCCCACAAAGCACCTGTAAGGTAAACAGAGGACTAAAGAGGAACTAAAGGGCCTCTTGATTTGAAAGTGACAAAGTCAGAACACGGGGACCACAACTTCCAGCTCTTTTTACAATACCAAGTTGTAGAGAAGAAGAAAGTCCTCTAAAAATGTTAAATTACTAGTTTTCCGTTTTCCTCTTGGCGCTAGTGCAAGGAAGCTACTCGCCAAACACGCCCCATGCTAAGGGGACAGGCTGCGTGGCGTGTACCTTGGCTCTGACTCCACCTTGGCCTCTTTCCTTTCCTTCTCCTGCCCTTCATTTCTCCACTGCCGTCACAAACCTCGCTCCACAAGGACCCCAGGCTCACCAAGAGCCCCTCTGTACTACATGGGAGTTCAGAGATGAGGCGAACATTAGTGGCTCGCTCCCCACCAGGTCTTCTGAGTCGTAATCCCCAGAAAGGGAACCCGGGAATCTGATTTGAAAAGCATCCTGGGGATTCTGATGTGCGGTCAGGCTTGGGTGCCACTGAGGAAAGCAACCAGCTACAACGTGAGGCCTTGCTGGTGCTGAGAGACCCGAGAACGGGGGGATATCATGGCAGGCTTTCCGGAAGAAGCTAAGCTGGCAGGAAGAGGGGGGGCTCACTGAGAGTGGAAAGGAAAGAAGGGGCTCCCTGGGTGTGGCTGCGGTGGTCATGCTGAGGGCTCTGCAGGCGGGCTCCCCCAGTCTGCTGGCTGGCTGCATGCTCATGAGCAGATCTGGGAGTCTCAGATTCTCATCTGTAAAGTGGAGGTGACATTCTTGGCACATAGTAAATGCTCAATATCTGTTATCTGAAAAGAAAAGAAAACCCACAGGGAGATACGGAGAAGGCCTGGATGAAATCACCTCGGCCTGAGCTTAAGAAGTCAGGGGGAAAGAGAGGATGTGGGGAGGGGTCTCAATGTGAGAGCCTCCAATGCTGAGGGCTCTGGCGGGGGTGCCATTAGCCATCACGGGAGAGGCACAACCAAACATTCATTTCAGAAGATCTGGAAGCTCTCTAGAGGATCAAGTAGAGAGGCCCACACGGAGGAAGGGAGAGCACTGGGAGGCAACTACAAAGGTGCGGCCGGGACCAAGGCAGAGGGGACGGAGAGAGGGCATGGATTCTAGAGGGCACGGATTCCAGAGAGGGCACGGATTCTAGAGGGCACGGATTCCAGAGAGGGCACGGATTCTAGAGGGCACGGATTCCAGAGAGGGCACGGATTCTAGAGGGCACGGATTCCAGAGAGGGCACGGATTCTAGAGGGCACAGATTACAGAGAGGGCACGGATTCTAGAGAGAGCACAGATTCTAGAGAGAGCACTGATTCTAGAGGGCATGGATTCTAGAGAGAGCATGGATTGTAGAGAGGGCACAGATTCTAGAGGGCATGGATTCCAGAGAGGGCACGGATTCTAGAGGGCACAGATTCTAGAGGGCACGGATTCCAGAGAGAGCACGGATTGTAGAGAGGGCACGGATTCTAGAGAGGGCACAGATTCCAGAGAGGGCATGGATTCTAGAGAGAGCACGGATTCTAGAGAGAGCACGGATTCTAGAGGGCACGGATTCTAGAGAGGGCACGGATTGTAGAGAGAGCACGGATTCTAGAGGGCACAGATTCCAGAGAGGGCACAGATTGCAGAGAGGGCACGGATTCTAGAGAGGGCACGGATTGTGGGGAGGGCACGGATTCTAGAGAGGGCACGGATTCTAGAGAGGGTATGGCACAGACAGACGGGCAGACCTGCCCACAGCACGTACAGGCACCAGGGCGGGGGGTTTACCTGGAGGTTTAAAGCCTGGAAGAATGGATGAGGCCACTAAGAGAGACAGGGAACCTCAGAAGAAAGGTCGATAGCCCAAAAGGCTTTACAGTCCTCCCTAGACTGCTCTGGGCAAGAAATCAAGGGTCTTGACACAAAGGGTCTCAACACACTGGTAGGTACATGGAACACTGCCCTGCCCATGCGAAGGCGCAGGCGTTCCCAAGTGTGTTTATGGACTGATGGAAATAAACGCCCAAGGGCTGGGGAACAGTTAAGCAAACCACAGCACCGGCCCACGGATGGACTACCACACAACAGCTGAAAATGCTACATTTGAAAATAACACAGAATAAAATTTTTCCAGCAATACAAATTAAGCTAGAATAACCATGCAACACTTGGAAAAGAACTCAGAGAAATAAAATATTATCGGGTCACAATGAGAAGATTATGGATAAGAATGCTGTGTTTTCAATGCCTTTTGGAAAAACAAATAGCTCATACATATGGAAAGATGCTTTACAATTTAACAAACGCCATCACAGCTGCACTGAGAGATGATCTGTCACCCATCAGACACAACAATCCCAAAATTTGATAAACACACTCTGTTGGTGAGGCCGCAGCAAAACAGGCACTCACGCACTGCTGCTGGGAGGGGAAACTGCAGGGACTGCTGTGCTCAGCAGAATGACGGGTCCCCAAAGATGCCCACATCCTCACCCACAGAACCGGTAAACGCGTTAGGTTTCATGCAGGGGAACTGAAGGTTGCAGATGGAATTGAGGTGGCTACTCAGCTGACCTTGAGATGGGGAGAGTGGCCGAGATTATCCGGGTGGACCCAAGATAATCATAAGGGTCCTTTCAATGTAGGAGAGGGGGCAGCAGAGTCAGTCAGAAGATGTGACAACAGAAACAGGGGTCAGAGTGATGTGGCTGTTGCTGGCTTCGTGGTCAGTTGTTACAGCAGCCAACACAACTGTATGGAGAGCAATTTGGCAATACCCATCAAAACCACAAATGGCCTGCATTCCTTCCTTGGGGAATTTCTGCATGAAACTGAGGCGTGGACCTAAGAAGATGGCCAACAGGGGTGAGAGGCTTCAAGGTATACCCAGAGCTTCTTTATTATCATTTCATGTCCCGTTCATCCTGCTTCCTGGGCACATCTCAAACTCATCTCTTGCTCTCCTGCCACTGTCTCTGCCCTGGTCCAGCCCTTTACCTCTTCCTGGACTGCCGCAATCCCCTCCTAACCAGCCTTTCCGACTCAAGCCCAGCCCTCCTATCCATCCTCACACTTCAGTGAAAGTGATCCTTCCAAAACATAAATCTGATTCTGTCGCTTGCTCTGCCTAGACCCTTCCATTACTCCCCAGTGCCCTTGGGATTGCTCACTTTTCTCAGCCCTGCCTCCAGGCATCTACCTCCTTCTCTCCAGGGCAGGCTCATCTCCCACTACTCCCAGCCCCTCCCAGTCCTACCAAAGCCTTATGTCCACTTTTGCTTCCAAACCTTTGCATGGGCCTCCTATCACCCGTTCCCACCTCCCACGTCTCCTGTCCTGGTTAATTTTTAGGCATCTTCGGGTCTGCACTTGAATATATATACATCATCCTTACCAGAAACCCTCCTCCACCTCCCCAAACTGGGTCTGTTGCTCCCAGAGCTCCCCGAACTTTCCTAGTCAAGCCTGTTGCCTTGTCCGGCCTGCACGCTGGCATGTGAGCCGCTCCCCCAGGGACTTTACCAGGGCCCCGCAGAATCCCCAGTGCCAAGCTAGGGTGGGCAGGGAGGTTCTTAGGAAACCCTGGGTGCAAGAAGGAAGGAACGAACACGTCTAAGATTCTGAGTCTAAGATTGTATTCGCAGTCTCCAGATTCTGTCTGGAAAGGCCAACGGTCCCAAGATGCCGACTCGACGTTATATAAAAGGCGCTGCCACTTCTCCTGGCACCCCAAGCTGCTCCAAGTTTACCAGCGCAACTCTCTCGAACGAGTCCTCGACTCCTCCCCTCCCGGGGCGCCTGCGGGGGCGCCGGGCAGGTCCGGCCGCCCGAGCCCCGCCCGCCCCGGGCCACCGCCCCCGCCGGGCCCCCGCCCCGCGCCGCGCGCTCACCTGGCCGCCTGCATGAGCGCGCTCCAGCCGTAGTGGTTGCGGCTGTTGACCGAGGCGCCGCGCCGCAGCAGGAAGCGCACCAGCGGCTCGTGGCCCCCGGCCGCGGCGAACTGCAGCGCCGTGTTGCCCGCCTCGTCCGAGCAGTCCACGGGCACCGGCGCCCCGGCCGCCGCCGCCGCCCCGGGCCCGGCCGCCTCGGCCCCCGCCGGTTCCGCGCCCGCCTCGGGCTCCGCGCCGCGCTCTGCCGGGTCCGCCGCCCCCGGCTCCAGCAGCCGCCGCGCCGTCTCCGTGTCACCCTGGTCGCAGGCGCGCAGCAGCAGCTGCAAGGCCGGGGGCAGCCCGCCCTCGCCCATCGCGGCCGCCGGCCCGCGCCCGTCTGCCCGCCGGCTCCGCCCCCGGATGCCGCGCGCCCCCTTCCGCCCGCCCGCGCGCCTACTGTGTGCCGGGCGCGCGCGGGGACGGGGCCGCGCGCCTACTGTGTGCCGGGCGCGCGCGGGGACGGGGCGGCGCGCCCACTGAGCGTCGGGCGCGCGCGCGGGGACGGGGCCGCGCCTCCATCGCCGGCGTCGGGGGCCAGCGGGTTCCGGGAAGCGGCGGGCAGCGTCCGCCGCCCGGGCCCGCGGGGCCGCCTTTGCCCTCGCCGCGGCTCCCGAGACTTCCTGCCCGCGCGGAGGCGGAGCGGCGGCCCAGCCCTGCCCACACCGCGAGCTCCGGACCCTGGGCCGGCCTCTGAATCCGCCGCCGCTGACCCAGCGCCTGGCTCTTAAGGGCACTTCCGAAAGAGTTGTTGACTGAATTAAGGTTCGGATGGGCCCACTCCGACTCCCCAGAATGTCCTGCGGGCCCTTAGTGCCCGTCCTTCTGTGGGACGGGCGTTCGGGCTGCCATCGCCTCCTGTACCTTCTCTCTCTTCAGTGGTCGTTGAAGCAGCACCGTCTGGGACATTTTACAAATGCGAATTTTCTGATCCCGGTCCAGACCTACTGCATGCACGGAGCCCAGCCACCTGGATGGAACAAGCCCTCCAGGTGATTCTGATGCATGCTAAGGTTGGAGTCCCGCTGTTCATCCTCAGAGAGTCCTGTCTGCTCCAGGGAGGGCCCAGATGATCATCCCCACTTTACGGAGGAGGCACTGAGGCTTAAAGAGGTCTGTCTTGCTAAGAAGCGCCATCAAGACTATCCCGTGGGCGAGCTGTGACTAGGACCCAGGTCTTCTGCCACCTAGTCCAGTTCTCTTTCTGTTCTCAACAAATGTGTGTTGAGTGCCTGCTATGTGCCAGGCATTGTTCTAGGTACTGGAGAAGCTGCCAGGAAGGAAGCAGAACCCCTGCCTTCCTGGACCTGACGGTTGGGAAGAGACAGGCTGTCAGTCCACAATCAGGCGGGTAACTTGCTGGTCAGGTGGCGCTGAGTGCTGCTGGAACAATAAAGACACCACAACATAAATCCGTGTAAATAAGATGGAGGATGCAATGGGATTTTATAATAGGCTGGGTGGAGAAGGCGTCGCTGAGAACGTGACATTTGCAGAGACCTGAAGGGATTGAGAAATGGAGCCATGCTGACATTTGGGGAGAGTGCACTCCAGTGCACTCCAGGCCGGCAAAAGAAAGGTTTTAACAGGAGCAGCCCTGCCGGCGCCGTGGTGATATGTTACATTCTGATTTGGCGTAACTGGTTTGCATAGACTGTGAGCGGTGGCCCCAAAGTCTAGCAAAAGGCCAGACATACACGGGGGTGCTCAGTACATAACTGTGAAGTGACCGAGTCTCATATATGGAGAATGAAAATACAGAGCAAACTTGATGAGGGCATGTGGAAGGAATAAGGGTCACAACTTTGGCAGATCAGAGAAGGTGGTAGGTGATGAATGCCCTTAGGATCTGGGCCAGCGGGGCTGGAAGAAAAGGTCCAGGCAAAGTGTAAAGATGAAGAAAGAGGCCGGCCCGGTGGCGTAGTGGTTAAGTTCCCATGCTCCACTTTGGCAGCCCTGGGGTTTGCTGGTTCGGATCCTGGGGCGGACCTGTACCTGACACCACTCATCAAGCTAAGCTGTGGTGGTGTCCCACATAGAAGAGCTAGGACTTACAACTAGGGTATACAACTATGTACTGGAGCTTTGGGGAGAAAAAAACAACAAAAAAAGGAAGATTGGCAACAGATGTTAGCTCAGGGCCAGCGTTCCTCACCAAAAGTAAATAAATAAAGATGAGGAAAAGTCTTGAAAGTACAGAGGTCTCAGATTGGAAAACCCTTATGAAGACAGTGGGATTTACTCTGTGAGTAATGGGGAGGCATGGGAAGTGTTTGAGCAGGAGAGTTATAGGCCCGGTGTCGGAGGTGGCACACTGTCACTCATTTCCAGAGTTGGCCCCATTCACTGCAGTAGAGATGAGAATGACTTCCTTTTGAAGGGCTAATGAAGACTTCTGTTTCCATGAAAATCCTGAGCAACTGCATCCTTGTCTTATTCTCTTTATTCATGTGTCTTTTCTTGTATTTTTACTAACTAGTTGTTGCATTATGAAAGTAATATACCTGGGGCCGCCCCGTGGCTGAGTGGTTAAGTTCGTGCGCTCTGCTGCGGCGGCCCAGGGTTTCGCCGGTTCAGATCCTGAGCACAGACATGGCACCGCTCGTCGGGCCACGTTGAGGCGGTGTCCCACATGCCACAACTAGAAGGACCTGCAACTAGGATATACAGCTGTGTACCAAGGAGGATTTAGGGGAGAAAAAGCAGGAAAAAAAAAAAAAGATTGGCAACAGTTGTTAGCTCAGGTGCCAATCTTTAAGAAAAAAAAAAGTAATATATGTGGTGAAAAAATAAATTCCAACAGCACAAAAGAGCATAAAACAAAAGCCCCTCCCCCCCACTCTCCCAGTCCTACTCCCGCTTATTCACGCTTATTTTATCTTTGCAAACATATTTCATGCATATACAAACATGCACACGTACATCTAGGCATTGACCAAGCTCCCTGCTTGCAAGCACAGAAATTAACCCTCTGGATAATTGAAGCAGAAAGGGGACTCAATACAAGCTTCTTTCACAGCTCACAGGCCTCACGAGGACCAGGGAGCCAGCCTCGGAGACCCCGCAACCGGGAACAACGTCCTAAATCATGCCACACTGCACCCTGTACCGGGATGGAGTCTGCATGGGCCGGTTTCCGTGTCAGTAGCTTCAGGGTCAGAGCCTGAGATGGGAGCGTCTGAATGGCCTGGCCTGGGTCGTGCGTTTTGCCTGGCAGAAAAGGAGGCTGGGAAAGTGCATTTCCGGCACTTTCAGCCTATACACTGGGAGGTGGGCTGCATACAGGTGCCCGAGAAGGTAGGAGACTCGCCATTTAGGAAGGCGGTTCAGATGCTGGGAGCCGAAAAGGATAACAAATGTCTGCTACAGATATTCCCTCTCGAGTGGACATCTGCCGCTTCCACTTGCCCTGCCTCTGCTAGTCTGGGAAGAGACACCCTCTTTCTTTTGGGGAGCCTCCCTCCTCCCCTCTGAGTCCACGTGGTTCAGTGGTTAGTGTATTTCCAAGCCCATCCTGATTGCTTTAGCCCGGGATTTTTTACTAAAGCAAGTGGGAGCGAGGTCCTCTCTGCTGAGGTTGTCAGCTGTCAGGATGTCATCACCCGAACTAGTGCTCGCTCTGCCTCCACTGGAAGACAGCCTGCCTGAGTGAAGTGACCACGCAGGAAAGCAGAGACAAGTGAGAGAAAGAGATGGAGTCAGAAAATCCTCCCCCTATTCTTTCTGGGCAGGTTTGTTTTAAGCAGGGTTGTCATCACCTGCAATCCAAGCCTCAACAAATGCATATTTTGCTTTTTAAATGAATGCATGCTATTCTGAATCATGCTTGTTTTTTTCTTTCATTTGCTGAATGGCTTGGGCATCTTTCCATGTAGGTGAATATAGATCTATGGCATCCTTTTTAATGGTTGCTTCTAACATCATTAAGCAGATGCACCATAATTTATTTAATCATTTTTTAATGATGCACAATTAGCTTGTTTTCAGTTTTCTGCTATTATAGAAAATCCTGCATTAAACAGCGCTTGTAGCAATCAGAGTCCCAGCAGGAGACAGATGGCACACTTGCCTGAAGAAACGAGGAACGTTCACCAAAGGACTTGTTACAGAAGTGTGGGCGGGATTTACTGAGAGCCGCCAGGGTTGGTGCAGTACCCCAAGGCTGGTAATGATAGGGAGCCATTACCACCCCAAGCCTGAAGGGAGATAGGGAGAAAGTTGCTGGAATTCTATGTGAGAGAAAATTGGAGCAGTCTACCTGATAGGAGTTATGGCCTTTGGTAGAGGGACACAGCCAACCACAGCAACCCAGCAGGGAGCAATCCCCAGAGGAATGAAAACTTCTGACTTTCACCGTCCTGCTGCCCTCTGATCTCCTGCCAGCCTTCCTCATTGGCTAAACCCAGCTGTTAGCCAGATGCTCAGAGCATGCTGATGTGGTCCTCACAGTCAGCCTCCCAGGGTTCACAGCAGGGAGGAGAGAGACTCAGTGGCACAAATGAAGATTCCAGCACCTTGCTGCTTAAACCGTGGTCCTTGGACCAGCAGCATCGGTAGTGCCTGGGAGCTTCTTAGAAATACAGCATCTTGGGTCCACCCCAGACCTGCTGAACCAGACTCTGAATTTCCACATGATCCCCGATGATTGATGTGCACAAAGTTTTTGGAGCAAGGATCCAGCACATCTTTGAACATAAATCTCTTATGCAGGTGTATCTATAGTCTTATTATTTATGAACTCTCTGCCAGTATTTTTTAGTTGATCCCTGTGTTCGTTAGGTCCTCTTAGAATCACATACCAAGAAGGTTTTTTTCTGGAGAAACACTTGTGTAGGATAAAGGGGGAAAGAGGAGGAAAAGAGAAGGAGAGCCTTCAGAGCCTGCTGCAGGTGTGACAGCCGGGAAAGGAGAGCGGGAAGGAGGAGGCTTGCGTAGGAAGAGCTTCAGACGGCCCTGCAGTTCTGGGAGTATCTCAGCCAGGCCGATGGGGAGTCCCCAGGCAAAGGTGGCCTGCTAAGGCCTTCTGCATCAGACAGAAATGACTGGGCTCTGGTTCCCCCAATGTGCTCAGTCACTGACAGGGAGAAACGAGGGGAAGCGTAGCCTCACTCGGCAAGGATGTCACAGAGGACCTGAAGCCATTGCAGCCGGAGGCTCTCAGTCAACTGTGCTCCCCTAGCGGGTTCTCTTGAAGGCCATCTGAGCGGGGCACCTCCATCACCAACACATTCAACCAGCATTTATTGAGTGCCTTCTGTGTGCCAGGCACTGTGTGTGTTGGAGGATGGGGACACAGCCGCTGGGTCCCAGGGCATCCCACATGATTGCAGACCGCAGCAGGGTCTTTTGTCGTCAACT